GGTGAGGAACTAATTATATCCTGTGAGGCAACGGGTTGAATCAAAAAAGTAAAAAACTTAAACAACAATTAGGACGTGGCCCCTTTAAAGAAGAACCACTACACAAATCTGAAGGGTCTTTACTGGTCTCTCCAGTAAACCGCTTCGGGGCCGATGATGCTGCCTTCTCATTACCAACGTCTGCTCACCGTCAGGCCCCTCCCCCCGTGACCTCATCTTCCCCTCTGTGTTTTTCCGAGCAGGGTTCTGCAGGACTGAATTAAACAAAAGTGACTATGTTACTGAACAACTAAGAAAAACATAGTACACTGCCAAGATACAGTGCAAAACGGACCTAAACAGCTAAATAAAACTAGAATAAACACAGTAAAACAGGGGTGTCCAACTGCGGTCCTGGAGAGCTACTGTCCGGTAGGTTTTCTATCCTACCTGACTTCTGATCAGCCACACCTGTTCTCAGGTAAATACCAGGAGCTGGAGACCCCTGCACTATTGTAAATATAAAGATATAATATAATGGTCTCAAATATTCGCATCCACTCAGGCAAACTCATTTACAACCAAAGGGAATTGCACCAATTTGACAAGGTAAGGCAGATCAGCCAAACTAAGCACTGTACAACTACCATGTCTGCCACTGAAATACAACAAGTATACTGATGTGTATAAGATTTCATTCTTGTCAAGAGAAAACATCCATTTGTATAAGAATAAGATCCAACAGTTTATCCAGTATGGTTCAGGGTCAGCATGGAGTCTATCTCAGGGAGCACTGGGCACTGGGCAAGAGAGAACCAGGTCGGGATGCCAGTCTATTCACCCCATACATATTATTATTATTGACACACAGACACGTGTAAGTGAGAGCAAGCTTGGCAGTGAAGGGCAGTGAAGGGCAGCGAAGGGCAGTGAAGGGCAGCGATGGGCAGTGATGGGCAGCGAAGGACAGTGAAGGGCAGCGAAGGGCAGTGAAGGGCAGTGAAGGGCAGCCCCATGAAGCTGGGGGTTAAGGGCCTCACTCAAGGACCCACAGACAGACAGTTTTGCAGAGGTTTAGCTGAGCCACACAAAACTTAAAAAATAAATCTGACATTTTAAATGCAAGACGCAAAATCCTAGATTCATAATTATATGGAGAACAGCAGTCACGATCTACTGCATTTACTAGTCACCAACAGATGACTGATGAGTTTACTATATGTCAGATTCATCTCAGTGAGTAATATAGACAGATAATATTGCCCACTCCATGCTTCATGCTTGTGCATGACAGGTAAAGGCCTGCCATGGCATCTCCCCTTCTTCTCAGACATAAAAAGATCAGCCATAAAACGCAATTCATGACAACAGCTGAGCACGACTCAGTCTGGCTAGACCCCGGTAAATGTCATCACACTAGCACATGCTACCCAGTTTCGCCTCCTACCTCACGACTCGATCCCTTTATCCTCACACTCCCTGCAACCCTCATGTTCGAACGTGACGCTGGAGGTAAACTCCCCGCCACTAGGGGGCCGTTGGAGATTCTGTGAATCCTGCTATTTTATAACGCCTCCTCTGCTTTCCACTGCCCCAATTCTTTTTCATCAGTGATGACCGACATTCCAGCCTCCTCTCCAGCAATCATTCCCACACCCCCCTCCCCCCCCACCTACGCCACCAATAACGACCAATTTGGTGTATCCATCAGCACACAATGCTCTCCTAGCCCCCACTGGTTTTTAACACAATGCTCTCCTAGCCCCCACTGGTTTTTAACACAATGCTCTCCTAGCCCTCACTGGTTTTTAACACAATGCTCTCCTAGCCTACACTGGTTTTTAACACAATGCTGCTCCCTCCAATCTATTAATGCAATATGCAGCATGAGTAAAGAAATTAAGCGAGGAAAGTGTGCGAAAAGCACTAGCGGTGATAGTCACACTTATACTGGCCCCCTGGGATAAGATCAGTTTTCATTTAATGCATCCTGACTGGCCATCGTTAGCAATCAGGCCAAGAGGCTCTGTAAAGCAAAAGGAACCCAGTGATCAAATCAGACTCTGGGGCGGCAGCTCCCCCTAGGGGCAGCAGAAAGGGGAGCGCCACATGTAGATCTGTTCTTCTCGTGGCTGTCAGGTTGGGTGTGGGTTGTGACACGGCATGGTGATGGGGGGTGGGGCTTGTGGGAGATGCCCTCCCAGCCAATCTCTCAGCAAATCCTCCCACCAGCCACATTATCAATTCCAGGCACATGTACCGTTCATTACGGAGCAGAAAGAAACTCACAGCTACCAGGTTCTCCACATTTTCATTTAGAATCAGGGTAGCGTCCTTACAAACACTGAGATGTTTCTTCTCCAGTTATCTTCACCAGCACTGAATTCTACCATGTCACCAGATCCATGGGGGGGGGGGGACCTGCCCCCATTGTCCGCCGTATTCGCGTTGAGCATGAGGGCGACTTTCGGAGGGCAGTGCCGATGGGGAATTCTGCCTTTTCCCCTTCCCTTTTCCCAGTTCCATACACCATTTTGTATAAATGATGTCATCTGAAGTGCCCTGCGGTGACTCAAGGCTCTATAAAAATTAATTGACTTGATACATTCATAACTCTAAAATCAATTTTAAGTTGATAGTTTACATGAAGTTCCGCCTCTCAGTTCTCTGACGTGTGCATCCTGAGAGACTGACATTCTGACATTCCTTCCAGTCCCCTGCTTTGCATCTTCAGTCCAGGCTCCAGATTCCCTATAAACCGGTTCTGATAGATGAGTAAAGGGATAAAATCATTTCATTACATGTAATATAATCACCAATAAATAAATTATAGGCTCAATGATAATAGAAAAGAGTAACTGTTATGGTAATACAATTGCCAGATTATACCAGCAAGAACATTTACCCTACAGTACCAGTCAAAGTTTAGACACGCCAAGCTGCCTGCAATTGAGAACAATAGTGTCACATCACATGACCTGGCCACCAAACCTAAACACAGTGGAAATGATTTTGGAAGAGTCTGACCAGACAGTGTAGGAAAGGCAGCCAATGAGAGCTCAGCATATATGTGGGACCTCCTTCAGGACAGCTGGAAAAGCATCCCAGGAGGCCACCTCATGGAACTGGTGTAGAGGAGAGAGTAGGATCAGCCAGTGCCTGGAGCAACTGGGATTAAGGGCCTTGCTCAAGGGAATTATAGTGGGATCATGCTGCCGACCCAGGGATTTGAACCAGCAACCTTGTGAGTCCCAACCCACAGAGCTGCCCCCCCAAAAAAAATTTTTGGTTTTTTTTTTTGGTCAGTGCATAATTCTATATATGTATGTATATCTATATATGTTATTTTATAGCTTTGATGTCTTTCAAATTATTCTAAAATGTAGAGAATAGTACATATATACCTTTCTATAGGTAGATTGTCCTGTACTGCAATTCAAGTTTACCCAGCTATTTTAACACCAGTTTGCTGATAATAACAAGTTCTAAACTGAGCATATTCATGTTCTTGCACTTACCCAATCAATACACCTGTCTCAGCTACTTTGCCACGTAATGTTTATATAAATATGGAAATTAAATACTAATGCATAGCTTTCACTACACCTTTCCAATGGCGACACCTACTGGCTAGAAAGTGATACTGGCCTAAGTGAGTCATATTAGATGGAATGCGTTTAAGCACTGTGTGTCAGCTACAAAAGAGGTCTAACAATCCTCGCTTGGACATGAGGGTATTCAAGGCCACAAGAGGAAACTGACAAATAGGCTATATGGTGCCTGAAGTGCAATGGTCACAAAAACTGCAAATGAATTTGATGTGTCACAGAGAAGAGTCTCAAAAACCATGATATATTTCCAACCCAGACAAACTGGATTGGCAAAAAGAAAGAGTCAAACACACAAGTCAAAGCTTGCTGGTGGAGATAAACAGACATTTAACAGGATAATTGCCATCACAAAACCACTTGCATTCAAGTTTACCGCACAGAAATGCATAACCAAGTATAAGGATCGCAAAGCCTGGATCCTTGAGCAATGAAAGAAATAATGTGGTCTGATTAGTCATCATTTACTGATTAGTCATCCGGGAGGGTTTGTATTCAATGAAAGCCAAAGGGTGCCTTCCCCTCACAATGTCTGGAAGTATGTGCAGCCATTTCACGAGCGCCGGGTGATTGCTCTGCAAAGGTTGCATAAGAGCCACATAATATGAGGCAATTTTACAGAGCCCTCGTGGTGTGCATATAACCCAATATAACGATGATGAAGAGCGCAATGCCAAACAAATTCAAGTACATTCCATCGGTTCCCTGATCACTCGATCTAAATATCATTGACCGTTTTTGGGAAACTCAGAAGCACATAGTATATGAAGCACTTCATCACTCAAAGAACTAGAGTCATTTCTTCATGAAGAATGGCCCAATATCCCACTACGGAGTTTTCATGACGGCATTCTAAGAAGGACGCGAGCTGCCCTGTGGCGAAGGTTGGCCTTTCTCCTTATTATTATACAGACATTTCCCTTATTCTGTTACGTGTATGTAACCCCAGTTGCAGATTTACATACATGATTTCACCGGCTGTGAAAATCAAAAATCAAAGTAAATCGGCGTTTTAAGTAGAAAATGCAATTGCCTAATACTAAGTAAATAATTTTATCAGTTTTTCTAGGTCGTTCTGTAACGGTAGTTTTTTTGTTCGTTACAGTATATTAATGTCTACTAAAAACTGGGACTGCTTGAAAAATTAGACATTCCTCAAATTCTCTCATTAACGAATAAAACTTTTCATCGTAAGTGACATATATAGAATCTATTAATGCACCACTGCCTAACATTTAAGGAGTATAACAATTAATTTTAAAATTACATTATTGGATGTCTTCATTCTGTTTCTAAATTCTTTCCTTTTGTAGTCTTTGTAAAGGTAACATAATTGTGACACTAGAGGGCAGTAGCGAAAGTAGAACCCAATTCTCGCGACTTTTGCCGTGGGGCACTTTGTAGTTTCCGGGATTTTGCGAAGCAATGCGCAGTAGCTCAAATTGACACAGAAATGGCGCTCGCGTTTAACTAACAGTAACTTAAGAGTTAGGTACTAGCGAATACGTACGGTAGACGCGACCCTTTTTGTAAAGTATTATTTACGTTTGTCCTTAGTTGGTTGTGAAGCTGAAAGGATCCAGAAAGGAGCGGGTTGTGTATGAGCGGACTGGATTATGACAGAAGAAGAGTCGCAACGGATAGCATTTGATTTGCCAGCAGTATTCTGAGACCTTCGCTACACAGGTAGCTAGCTAACGTTCAGCCGGACACACATCAGCTTGGCCATGTGGAATGCAGTATGTGCTTCAGCACAGCCTTCTTTGGCAAATTTGTTGGTGAAACTGGCCAATTACGTTTGTGCGATAAATAATTAGCCTTAAAAATCGAGGCCCCATCTTCGTAACGTAAGTTTTGTGCGTGCAGAGGTTGAGCTGCCCCGTGGTACTTCCCTCCCTGGCTGGGCACACTGTGCTGCTTGGAGCCTGACTGGCGGTGGATAAATTCCGGCGGGGGATTGTCCGCCGTATTCGCGTTGAGCATGAGGGCGACTTTCGGAGGGCAGTGCCGATGGAGAACATTTACAAAGGAGGCTCCGGGACCCTACAACTTTGCAGAAGCAGGATTTTTGAATTCAAAATCGGTATTCAGCTTTGTAACGTACAACAAAATAGTCAATTCGTGTTGCCGACACGCGTTTAATTATATTGGTAACCATTTAGGTATATTATTTAGATGTGGATTCAGATACTTGTGCTTAAGAATATTGTCATTCCCACATGTCTCTCTTTTGCCGATTAATAAGCTTACATAAAAACATAACCCTGGGAAACGGCTCCATCGTTGGTTTCATGTGAACTTGCATGTGATATTTCATTCCACTTCTCCTCCCCGGGAGGCCGTGCCGTTGTAAGACTTTGGCCGCGTTGTCATAGCAGGTTAGCGGCACGGCATTGACGGGCTCGCGCCGCCGCGCGGCTCCGTGGCCCCGTTTGAATCCGCTCCCTTGAGTGACGCCATTGGCGGCCTCGCGGGCCACGTGAAACAAGCCGCGCTCGCCGGGCGTGCGTTTTTCTGTCCTTACCTTTGCTTTGGTCCGATTTCGGTTCCGGCTGGAAGACTGTGCTCTACAGGGTTTAGATACTTTTGAAAACTATCTTCGCTGATCATTTTTTTAGGGGAGAAACATAACGCGTTAAGTTTCTTCCCACCCATCCCAGTCGTGTAATGTTGATATGGGGGGGGGGGTCGGATTGACGTAAATTTTTTATCTTGTGTAAAATGTATTTACTGTTTAATCGCTTTACTATAAATATATATATTATCAGAAGTTATACGGATGGTTTTAAAAAACAAAATGGCACCGCCTATAACATGTTTAGCAACTAGATCTTATTAGTAGTCTTTCCTTTGTTTCTACGAATTGTCCGTAGGCTTCAGGAAGGCTTTCGAAATTTGTAATTTGCGACTGTCATAAAGATTTTTACTTGGGTGTTCGGTAAAAAATAATTGTCATTGGATCACAGTCGGCTGAAGTGTATACCCCGTGATTGACCAGGTATCAGTACTGAACACACCGTGTTTTGAAAATCTCATAGGTGGATCTTTCAGGACCTGATAACAGAAATAGGTTGCAATGCCCATATTATTCCTAAAACCAAATAACTTCGGGTGACATGGATAGCAAAGCAATGAGTTCCTGACGTGGGTTGAAGGTTGGGAGGAATGCCGTTATGTTTGTTACTGCTTGGAGATAGATGAATGTGAAATAGGCAGTTAACTTAGGTTTTGGGGTGGTGAGTCAGTAGGATATTTCACTATTAATGGCAAAAGGATGAGCACAGGGATCACGGCTCCATTACATCATGTGCATGAAACGGCAGTCTGTGGGCTACTCTAATGTCTACCTGCAGCTCTGCAACATGAAGACACTCAAGAAATAGTGAGATTCTACTGCCCTAGTGAAAGGTCAAGCTGGTTATATAGGGCAAGTGTGATCGTGTTTCACATTAATGTATTATTCATCAAAAGTGATGCTCTGCTGTACGCTTTGGTATACATGCAGGTTAATAGTTAACTTTTTAGGGGAAAATAGGGAAGATGATGCAAGAATACCCAATATCTTTTGAAGTTATAAAGGTTAAAGGTATTTTATTAGCCGGTCCTCTTAAACTGGCACTGGGTCGATACCTAATGAAATGCAAAAAATAGTCGCTTAGTTTTCCCAAAGTGATACTTTCTTGGATTACGATTCATTGTTGTGAAAGCCTATTTGAATATTTAAATCACTGCATAACATTTTTTCCTAGTAATTATAAAAGCTCTAAACTGTCATTCTGAATTGCTTTTATACATTTAGTCTGTTTCTGGTACATGTACAGCCCTGTTTTGACTGTCAGGGTCTGTCATGCAGTCAGCTGTTGCGGAAGGAGACAGCTGGGGCCCCAGTCAGATACTGCTGTTTATTCCTCTACAATATGTTCTTTCATTGGTGCTAGACTGACATCTGGGGGAAGAAAAATAAACAATGGCGTAGGTTGTAGTTGGTCCTATAGATGACGCAAGTATTCAGAGCGTGGTCAGGTTCTCTGCCGCATCATGTACACTTGGATGTTGATTTCCATGTGCTCTCTGCCCAGTAAGCATGCGTGACCTGACTGCTCAAGTCACCAGCTGCCTGCTGCGCTTCCCTGAGGTGACGGTGAACGCTCTGGGCGAGGACGAGATTACACTGGACTCAGTGCTGCATGGGAAGTTCACCCTTGGTAAGTTGAGTCGTCCTACTGCTTCAGGACAAAATTTAGCATCTTGGGGTTTGATAGCCATGTTTCAGCAATGATACTCAGGCATGTAGTTAATCAGGTAACTTGATACTCTTGGTTCTTGTTGATCGATTTAGAAGAGCCTTTCCAGATCTTCTAAATTTATATATTATGACTTAATCTGAGTAATAATTAGCATGGGTGTTTCTTAAGCTGTGTTGATCGCTTTCACCAAGCTTCTCCAGTGTTGTGAAGTATGAATGAATTCAGAGTAACTTCTGCACGTAATGTTCCCTTTACTCTAATTTCTCTTTGGCAATCAGGCCGCAGTGGTCTGGCCTGGCTCGCCTGTGGGCCCCAGCTGGAGGCTGTGCACGCTGTCACAGGAGAGCGTTTCTCCGCCTACCGTTTCAGCGGGCTGGGCGAGCACCCTCCCGCCGTACTGCTGGCGCGGGATTTCAGCTGGCTGAAGAGGACGGGGCTGCTGGTGGGCCTCGAGGAGGCGGAGGGTAGTTTGCTGTGCCTGTACGACCTGAGCATCTCACGGGTGGTCAAGGCGGTCGTCATCCCTGGACGGGTGAGTTGTCTTTCATTATTGTTCTTGTGCTGATGTGGGTGCTTATCAGACACCTTGGTTCTCCAGTGCAAAATAATGTTGCTGGTATATTTATCTCTTCAAAAGTATACATAGTAATACCTCTAATAAAGTGCTTGCGCAGTTATTTTAAAAACTTAAGATGATTAAATTTAACTTGGGCTGCACGTGATATAATCCAAATGATATAAAGTCAAATAATCACCAGGACTTTAGATGATGGGCGTAAACATTTGTCCGGACACCTGTTTTTCAGTATTCTACAGACATTTATTTACGCCCACGATTTGGTAAGCAGATTAGTAGTATGCCTTAAATAAGAGAAGTGTATCATGATGCTCATACTATTGTTTTTGTAAATCATGGAAGCAATTTATAAGCACTGAAGTGGTGGTGAAGAAAGGGATAGCTCAACAGCCACAACATCTTTTAAAAGAGGAGATACCGTGAATAAGGGAAAATAAACAAAACAAGTGGTGGTACTTTTTGCAATTTAAAGTCCAACACATTTATTAAACATGATACGCCAAATTTATGAAGATTGCCAACACATTACACAGCTCATTAATATGATACACATGATACACAGGCATACTTCTAATCTGCTTTCCAGATTGTGGGCATAAGTCAACGTCTGTATAATACCAAAAAGCCCGCTTCTGGCCAAATATTCATACCCGTCATCTGAAGCCCGGGTGATTATTGCACATGCACCTTATAATCACAATGTGATATTGCGCAGCCCTAAATTCAGCTGTATTTGCATCCTCAGTAATAGGTCCTGTTTTTGTCCAAATCAGATCACTGGCATTGAGCCGCTGGTTAGCTATGGAGGGGCTAACGCGAGCACCCAGCATCTTCACCAGAGTCTGCGCTGGTTCTTCGGTGTGGTGGTGGTGGTCACCGACGTCGGGCACGTGCTGCTTGTGGACCTGTGCCTGGACGATCTGTCCTGCAGTCAGAGTGAGCTGGAAGCTTCTGGTAAGGAGCGACCTTCTGTGGGCTTGATACTCTGACCTGCAATACACCCAGTTTACAGGATGTGCAACAGATATTTGTCTTATGTTAACCCGTACAAGCTGAAATAGTTGTTTATCATAGCAGATGTGTAAATTTTAATGTCATGTGCCTCCAGACATACCACTTTATATATTTTCCTCTTTTGGCAAGATCTGTGTGATTTATCCAGGTTCATGAGTTGTGGCTTTGCTAGCTAATATGTTGGGTTCCTGCCTTGTTAGAAGTTATTGTGTAGCTGCTGCTCCAGTACCGCATTGGAAGCTCAGCCTGGCCACACTCATGCCCAGTCGGCTCCTTGACAGCCCTGTGTTTGTAATGTGCTATTCGCCTGACTTGTACATCACTTTGGACAGACCATGTAAATGTCTATCCAAGAAAATATTTAATACTTAGGCTTCTGTCCATTTTAATTGAAATGAGTCACTTTCCAGTAGTATTTGCTCTGTAGCCATGCTGCAGGAAAGCCTTTGTTCTCACAGCTCGGCCTGTGTTCCGTGTTTCTGGCCTAGATCTGGAGGTGGTGAACAAGTCTCCCGTTGACATCCCGCGCCTCCGGGAGAGCGTCACGCGTCAGGGCCGTCACCTGTGCCTGCAGCTCAGCAGCCCGACAGGAACAGGGGTCACCGCCCTGCAGTACATCACGCGCACCAACCAGCTGGCTGTGGGCTACTCCGACGGCTACCTGCAGCTCTGGAACATGAAGACCTTAAAGAAAGAGTGAGATCTCATCACCCGCCCCTGTTTGCCCACGCAGTCTCATGACACAAATCTGCTGATCGTACGTCGAATTGCTTGACCTGGGGGCGACGTTTCTGCTTGTCTGGTTCTTCAGATATCATTCCCAGCTGGAGGGTGGCAGAGTGCCAGTGTACGCCTTCACCTTCCAGGAACCAGAGAATGACCCCCGTAACTGCTGTTACCTTTGGGCTGTGCAGTCGGCTCAGGACCAGTGAGTGTTGTCATAAGGCAGCTTTACACGCTGCATTACTTTTTAATGTGCCGAGCTGCTCAGTAATTCCCCATATAAATGCATTGTCTGCTACTATGTAATTGAATGTGTGGATTCTGGCTTTTTTTCGTAGTTTTTTTTTTTTTTTTCTTGTTGTTGTTCTTCTGAAGGGCACTATGCAGTTTTTCTAAGGCGTGTCCTTGAGTTTTGACATGAGTTTAATTATCTTGTTTTCAGTGAAGGGGATGTGGTCAGCCTCCACTTGCTTCAGTTGGCATTTGGGGAGAGGAAGTGCCTCGCTTTGGGAAAAATATTATATGAGGTAATTAATTGTCGCCGTTCCTGTAAGTAAGGATCTTATTCCAGCTTGAACATCTTAATGTTTCCCGGCCAACCCGTTTCGTTGATCGAGGATGCAAGTCAGGTCTGTTCAGACCTGTAGATGACAGTGGGTAAGCAGTTCATAGCCCAGTAGAGATTAAAGTATTGTATACTTGGGCAAAGTACTTAAACAGGATTTCCCTCTTCTTTTTTTTTATTATGTATACAACCTATGAAAGTTGCTTTAGATCAAAGCCAGCTAAACACTCAAGTATATTCAACAGTGTGTATGTATGTTTTGAAAGCTGTCGGAAGTACTGTAATAAGTGGCTTCCTCTGCTAGGTTTCCTGTTTGAAATCCAAGAGTGGTGTTGGAGCAGTTAAAGCAGTAGCTATATAGAGTTTAATGTCTCCCAGGGCTTGGAGTACTGTGAGGAGCGCTACAGCCAGGACCTGAACGGCTCTGCCTTCCCACTGAGGGCCCAGGCTACCAACACCCGGCTGCTGGGCTGCCAGACCATCGAGAAGTTCCGGCACCACTCCGACCGCGATGACTCTGCCAACGAAGGTTCCTTTGTCACGCCCCTAATAGTTTCACTCTCCTTTTACCTCGGGGCAGAATGGAGTAACTGAAATGAATATCTGCCTTATGTGAACTTATACTTTGGCATTTGTCCCCTTCCAAAGTTGCGTCTCCCGACATCAGTGTGTCAATATTCAGCTGGCAAGTCAAGTCCTACGGGCAAGGCAAGCCCTCTACATACATTGGCGTCTTTGACATCAACAGGTGGTACCATGCCCAGATGCCAGACTCTTTAAGGTAAATTTGTGTCCTGTTCACGACAAATTTAGAATTAATTTTCTCGGTTTGTGTACTTTGACCATACTTGTGTTCTTGTCTACTGGTTTTGCATCATCTTCCATTGACAAAGACCAGTTCCAATACTAAAAACAAAAGTACAGAGGATGATTAATATGCCCAGATTCTTGCCCCATCCCAACTATCAAGGACACTTCGGTAGCATCCTCGCCAGCAAGACCAGTCCCATGATTCATTGCACCCCAAGTTCATTTGTGGGAGGCAAGTTTGCAAGACCAGTCTTGCCAAGACCACAAGTATGATCTTTGCATTCTTGGTACTGAGAAACACCCATAATGTCAATGCTGTTCGCCGTTGCTTTTCTCAAAATGCCATGTCATAAAATATTTTAATATGGAAAGCAGTGGGAAAACAGTTTAATGTTCCATTATTCTTGATGCTAACCAAAGGTGCTTCTCTGCTGTCACCGACCAGAGCCGGTGAGTCTTTGCACAGCTGCCCGTATTTGGCCGTGTGGTCTCTGGATGCTGTGGTGGAGATGACCGCTCCGAGCCCCCTGCTGGACATCCTTGTGCACGAGCGCAGCCTGAGCCGGGGCTTGCCTTACACATGCCCCCCACCTGAACAATTTTTCAACCCAACCACCTACAATTTTGGCAAGTCTCCCCCAGCATCAGCCCACAGTCTCTCCCACTTAGTGATCTAGTACATGTTGGAAAATGAAGTGCCTGAAATTCACATTCAATAAAGCATGGTGTCTATGTTTGCTATAAAGGCAGCATGTCAACATGTTAAAACTTCATTTGCGTTTTATTTCTGCAGATGCCACTTGTTTACTTAACTCTGGAGTCGTGCACTTAACATGTTCTGGCTACCAGAAAGAGGTTTGTTTAATTTCAAAAACTTGGTTCAAAAGTGTTTATTTTCAGAATGTTCAAATTTTTTGCTTGTAGCCTTTGTATATAACCGCCATGGTCCCTTTCCTGGTAATTGTCAGACGCTGAGCTTCTTAAAGAAGTCGGCTCCCAACCTGAAGGAGGCCGTCCCGGACAGCTATTCTCGCTGCTTGATGTCCGGCCTGCTGTCCTCCCGTCTGGCTGATGTTCAGCCTTCAAGCCTTTCTCAGGTCAGTTTTTTCCTCATGTACACAGTACAATATCAGTATATTCCATCAGGTACCTTTTGGGGGAAAATGTGAAATTTAGTGCTGGATAAGTTTTAATATTAATCATTTTACAGTGTAGGTTTCATAATATGTCAAAATAGGGGTCCGTTGTATTGCAGTGTGACCCAAAATGCCTGTTTTGAATACATGTTCGATTCAAAATGCATAACAGTCAACATGTTGGAAGATGGGTATCTAATACACGTGGTTAGAAATTCAAAGCGCTTGGAAAACAAAGTAGTATATTTCTGTTGACACACAGGAAGAGCAGTTGGATGCCATTTTGTCGACCGCAGTGGAAACCAGCTCTCTGGGACTAATCACTGGCTATGTCAGACAGTGGATGTCCGAGGGTGAGTCAGACCACTGCGTGGACTCATATGGGTTTGACAGATCTCCTGTGTGTGCCAGTGTGGTTTCCCCGAATTGACCATCTGTGTGTTGTCCCTCAGATCAGCCACAGGCTGCTGGTAATCTGCGCTATATCCTGGAATGGGCGTGGGGCAAGGTGGTCCACACCAAAGAGGAGCTGGACACCATCTGTAAGTCTCAAACACCTTCATATTTAACATATTCTACTTGGACTCTGTCTAATTTTGCTGCACCCTGTCATCTTTTGCTTCCTGCTGCCTTCACCTCAAACACCTTCCTTCCTCGCAGGCACACCTCTGTTTGACAGTTCTTCCAACTTCACGGACCCCCAGACCCTACAGTTGTTGCAACATAGCCAGCGTCTGTTGGGCAACCTCAGTACCATCTTCCAGTGTCTGCTCAGTGAAGCTCAGGGACTCACCCAGAAAGGTACTTGGATCAAGTTTGTCCATGTCTGTCTTTAAGTATGAAAGAGAGTGATTTTACTGAACGGCTTTTCTGTACCAACTTAAATGAAGGTTTTTAAACCATGACCCCCCCCCCCCCAATTTCTTCTCCAGGTCTTGTGGGCCTCCTCAATAAGAAGATTGTGTCAAGCCTCATAGCTCAGTATGCTCAGGTTGTCCTCTGGTTTTGTCGGACTGGTCTCCTTCCAGAAGGAACTGGTAATTATTCTTAGCTTTTTGTTTTCATTTTTCACTACATGATTGCTGATTTCACAGCTGTAGGTTAAGAAGGAGGACTTGTCCAATGATATCGGTGTGGCAGAAGCATTGCCTTCATACCTCTAGCTCTCCAAATGAGATTGTCAGATAGCCTGTAGTTGATTAGGAAATCACATCACAGCAAACTAATAGATAATTAGTTGCACTTTGTCACTTAGCAAGCACATGTTCTTGCTGAGACCTGACTGGTGATGACACCCCCTACTTTTAAACAGATGATGGCGTGCTGCAGATATCAAGACCATTTTACAATTATTCAATAATTAAGAACTACTACACTGGTCGCAGAGCGGAACTACAGCATCTCTCTAAGTGAGTCTTACGGTTTTCTGTTGCTGTGTTCACTATAACTTTGCATGTGGGGAAGGGGGTTAGTTGTGTGGTTTTGGGGTATTTAAGGTAGGGCTGTATGATATCACATTCTGATATTACATTGCAATATGTGAAGTTTCCCCAAGTAACACTGTATTTATAAAACCAAAAAAGGAGATGGAAACTACCCAAAATAAACTACAGCTAAATAGGTCTTATCCACTAACTGTGTGTGTCAGAAGTTTTGCAGGGAATTGTCAATAAACACAAAGCAACGCCGACAAATGTGATGAGATTATTTCACATGTGCACATTAAATAGTGCAGCTCTAAGGTAAGGTTTACGTGCACTTGCTCCACAGAGGGAAATGGTGTTCTGACTGCCTCATGATTGACGGGTTGGTGGCCCAGTTCGGAGAGCGCCTCACTGATCTTTGGAAGCGGGATGAAGGGGGCACTGGCCAGTACCCACCCCCAACATTACATGTAATTTCTCTGCGTTCCATGCTTGTTTTAGGGATTTTATTCTGGCTCCCTGCGTTTAATCGTCCTTTCTGGATCTCTCCCAGGCACTTTAGATAGCGATTTCAATTAAACTTGGCCTGATTGTCAGACATCTGTTGAACTAGAATCATGTCAGGTTGCACGTGATAAACCAGGCGGTTATTAAATAGTTCTGCCATGTTTGAACCTCCACAAAGGAGAGAATTACTAAGTATATTTAGGTATTTATAGGCTAGTAGGGCCTACCATGAAGATTATTATACAAAAGGTCCTTGCTGACAATGTAAAATCAATAGCATTCCCCACTTTAAAACTGTTCTGGGCTGATATTAACTTTATTTAGCATGAAGGACTTTGGTTGCATTAACAACGATCAGGAAATGGCAGCCTTTAGTACGTAAGCAGTGCATTTTGAATGGCAATTAACAGTCATATTTGTTCTGTTTTCTTGCAGGCCTTGCTTGACATTTATCTTTCGGAAAGCGTAGACGAAACAGCCAAACATGCCATTGTATCCTTTCTGTCTCCTCCCCCTGCTGAACATCCATTTGCTTCTTTTTGGATCAGCCTTTTTTTTTTTTTAGGAGATCAAGTAATGGTCATCGGTCTCTTTCTATGAAAGTCTTTTTTTATAGATATCTTTTTGGAGTCATTGACAAACTCGTTATGAATCATAGCAATAGTTTTAGTTGTAATTTTCCTTTTTATAATTCAGAGGCAAAAAGAAATGAAACTGCTCTATAAAAATAGTCTGACACAAATTCCTTTTGCGACCTTAACCACGCTCTTGCCAGGTTCTTTACTTGCTGCTGGATGTCATGTATTCCTATCCCAATAAGAGTGGGGCATCTGTGGAATCCTTCCCCACAGCCTTTGCCATCCCCATTGGTCTGGTGAAGCTGGTTCAAGGCTTGTGGCTCCTGGATCACCATGACCATGAGGTGATTACTGTAAAAGGTTCTTGTTTCGATTCAAAAGTGTTTATATTCAGAATGTTCAGTTCATGTTAGTGATCATGTTAGTTGCCCTTTAATGTGTTTTTGCTTGTTTCAGTTTTACTTACACAAAAATGTTCTGAGTGCAGAAAGAAAAATCATGGGTTCTCTCTTAACCAATCAGATTGTAGAAGAGGTGGGACCGAGACATGTGATTGGTTGGTTCCGCCTCTTCTAGTTGTTTGGATCAAGCTGATTGGTTATCTCTTTGAACCAATCATTTTTCCTTCTGCCCTCAGAACATTTTGTGTAAGTAAAACTTCCATGAGCCTTATTCTATCAGTCACAATGGCCTCCTCCTTTGAGTCTGGTCCCTCCCAGGGTTTCTTCCCATGATGGGAAGCCTTTGGCTTGCTCTCGGGGCATTGGGCAGGGATAATGTAAAGTACTTTGAGACACAATGTAATGTTGTGAAAATGCACTATATTGACGTGAATAACACCTTTTGTTCTGCCAAAGAACTCCCTGGAGCTGCTCCTGCACCCATCCACTAGTCGCTCCCTGTGGCCCTGGCAGCACGAGCGCATTCTGCAGGCGCTGATGTGTCAGGGCCAGCACAGCGTCGCTCTGCGTTACCTGCACACAGTGAAGCCTCACTTGGCTTCTGCCGGCCAGTTGAAGCTCTGCCTTGCTGTTTTGCTTCATAACAGGTACTTGCGATATTTCATTGCTCTTACGGAGCTGGCGTCCCTGTGGGGGCTGCCCAGTCATCCCGTCTGTTCCTGTGTGTAGGTGCACGGTGGAGGCCTGTGCCCTCCTGAGGCAACACTCTAACAAGCTGAATGTGGAAGAAATGTTCCGATTCCTGTATGAGACCTGCCAGGATCTGGGTCTGATGAAAGAGCTGCTCAAACTACCACTGGGCTTTTCAGAACAGGTATATGTGAGAATAAAATCATCCCTGCTACAGTCAGTAGTTATTAGTGCTTTTCAATCTGGCATGTGTACTTACTGGACAATACCGCCATTTTGATTTCCAGTGTAATGGCATGTATGAGTATTTGTGTTTTGAAGCTGTGTTTATTTGCAGGAGGCCCTGGAGAAGTTCCTGCGAGATACTGGGGGGTCCCAGAATAAGGAGCTGCTCGTTGTACACTATCTCCAGCGAGCTAACTATGTCCCTGCACTGCAGCTCAACCAGGCCTTGAAGATGAACCTAGTTGTATGTTCAACACTTTTCAATAGCTTCATACTTAGTACTGATTCAAGTTCTGGGTGATCTTGTAATCAGATTTGTTTAGCTAAAGTTTTCCCGCTTCTTAAATATCTCTAAGCAGAAGAAAATTTTAATCTGGTAGTAACTTTTTTTTTTTCCCCCCTCCATTGATTCTATTGCAGAATGACAGAAATCCAAAAATGAAGGACCGGTCAAGCACTAGGAATTCTATTCTTGAACAGTATGGGAAAGTTCTCCCGAAAGTGCAGCGGAAACTCGCCACCGAGAGAGTGAAGCCATACCGTCGTCCTTCCACTGTGTTCCGGGAAGGTCGGTTTATGCCTCTAGGTTTTGGCTCTTTGATTATTAATTTAGCAAATCATTGCATTAATTTCCCCTTAATTCTATAAAACCTTAAATTAGGCCGGATTAGCTTTTTGTCTGATATAGGGCATTGCATTACATTACGTTGGTGTGTAAATTTCACCCAAATTTATGCATATAGCATGTTCTTGTACGTGTCTGCAGTTTCACGGCCCCAACCTTTGTCGACCGTGGCCAAGCAGCCTACGACGGAGAACGTGCTGACAAGAGCCGCCTTCATCAGCAACGTCCTCACCAAGATCGGGGAAGTTTGGGTGGGCAAGGACACCACTCCTGAAACCCCCCCGCAGAAAAGGTGCATTTTGCTTCCAGTCATGTGATTAATCTGATGACCTGCGGTGACTAAGTGACGTCTTTACTCGCAGCCCCAGAGTACCGGAGTTACCTTTTCCAGCAACGCGCCCCTCCCTAGTGGACCTGCCTGAAGCCTTCATAGGCACCCCAGTTGCTTTGGCTGCCAAGAGGAGATCAAGGTAATTTATTTTTCCTGCTTAGCAAGTGTTGTCATTCCTCTGAAAATAAGTTTATAATGAAACCCATCTATATGGTGGCATATCTCTCTTCCTCAGTGGTGTAACTGCAGACCTTCTCGTCGATGATAATATCAGACTTTTTCACTATCCAGATTATGTACATATCAAGCTCTTTGTTTCTGTTAACAGTACTGAACACATTCTCTTAACTTAAATATTAGAAATGTGCCTATGTGCACTAGATTAAGTGCATGGATAGGGCTATATCAGCGTGTCCGGCACAGGGTCGTCACAGACCTGGAGGCTGTCCTTGGGAAGGCTGGGGACACCCTAGATACGATGCTAGTCTAACAAAGCATGCACAGGCATATAAACAGGATTTATTTTTATTTATTTTTTTAAGTTTTTGAGCTGGCCTTAGGAGGACATATTTTACTCGTAGCGTGTCGAATCCTATACTGAAAAACAGGAGCGCTAACTAGGTGTTATTGAGTGTGGTAATGGAAATGCAGTCCTGTTAAGTAAGTCATTTGCACATCACAGCAGTGCCACTGTTCCTGGTTGGACCTGCCGGCATGTATGACAAAAGCTTGTATCTAACACCTAGCTTGGCTAGTAGTCTTATCAAGGATCAAATGCTACTGACATACGCAGAAGTAAACAAACTGGAGGCAGAGAGTTGTCATTAATATGACACCTATTGTTCAGGGACCAATATTGTTATAGACCGAGGCTGTTTTGTAAGTTTCAGTGTCGTGTTAATTGACATTCTGCAGGAGATGGAGAGGGATTTCTTAGTTATATGAACTGGCTTTCAGCAGAAGCCACCTTTTCTGTGAAGTAATGCGACCTTGTGTGCAGTGAACGTGCGGAGATGGGAGCAGGGGAAGGAGAGCATGTCCCTTTGCCAGGCTGCTGAGGCGGTTTTGCTTGGCTGCCCAGTGGAACTTAATTTAGAACTTGTGCCATTTTCATTCCACTGTGCACATCTTGGTTCTGTCAACTGTGTCTTGGAGCCAAGGTCTCGATGACAGTTGTGCTGACTTGGTAATTAAGGGAGACAGAATGTGGTGGAGCTCTTGGATTATAACGCTGACTGGAAGGGGGGTTTCTTAGTGTATGAGTGTGTGGAAGGACAGGTGTGGTGAAACGTAGTGGTCAGACATGGGGATAGGGTGATGAAGGTTGTGGCAAGAGACACAGGGGCATTGGAAGCTAAGAGAACCAGAACAGAGAACTCACTGGATTAGGACAGTGCAACTGCATCTGGACTTATTTAATGTGGTTTAGTGGAGGGAAAAGGTATAGATATTACAGCAGCGGCAAGTAAAATTTAATGTAAGGATCTGTGAGAGGTCATGCGCCGCTCAGGGGAATGGAACGCAGTTCTTGTGATCAGAAGGTCACCGGTTCAGTTCCCATGGCTGGTGGAGTGACTTCACTGTTGAGCAACGCCTTTAGCCCAGAAAGGTTGTGCTAACTGTATTTACACATTCTTTTTCCTCCAAGGGCCCTCGATCTTGTTTTGTATCCATCTACTCGTTCGAGCCCTGAAGGCGTTGGCCCGCAGCATACCCCACTCAGGCATCCATCTGGAGGGCTAACAACCCCGTCCACTGGGAAAACCAGCTACCTCCAGAGCATCGCCCAAGCACCTGAGCTCAGTCTTCTGCAGACGCCACAGGTGGTCAAGGTACAGACAAGAAATGTGGTTTCTCTTCTCAGTCACTCTTTTACTAGGAAATAATCTAAATGTAGAACAAAGGTGGGTTGCTTTGGTGGGCTAGCAATTGTAAGCAAGCTAAATTTATTTGGTTCAGCTTGGTTCACTAAGCCAAGTAATTATCTTCCACCCAAGTATATGGATGAATTGCTAAAATGACAATTTGTCGGCCATCTTGCTTGATCTTATCGTTGGTTTTCTTTGGACAATGGCAGTGAGTGCATTGCAGTGTTTCCCATAGCACAGCTCAATCTTTGTTCTTCAGAGAGCCCGATCGCTGGCCGCGTCTGGACCCATGTTCTCAAGCTTTACGCCACAATCCATCCTGCGAAGCAGTTTGCGTCCTACCCCTGTGGCATCCCCTTCTGCGTCCCCAGGTCGCTCAGCCAGCCCTCCACTACGCCCCAAAGAATGCCGTATCACCTTCATCGAGGAAGCCCCTTCTCCTGATTTAGCCAAGGTTTCTGCTCGCTTGAGTAGCACAGTAAGATTGTACATTCTTTCTCTGTGTGTCTACATATGGTGTTAAGTTTCGTGTTGAATATTTTTGATAACTGCATAATTCTGACTGATGCTGGTTTTACGTTATAGAATTGAAGTGTGTTTATGTAAGCATTTCAGCGGATTGTCATCTTAATTGCAGACCATGCAAGATGGTGACATCGGCCTGCCCTCTAGATCATCTGCACTAAAACCTGTGCTGGAACAGTGGGGTGCGCCTCCTTTAGAAGGGGAAGAGCAGGAGGAGCAACCTGTCCTCTCTTCAGCTAAGGAGCAGTCAAGTGGAGAGGGAGGCAAAGGTGGTTCTGTTAGGGAGGTCGTGGCTGGCAGAGTCAGTCTGGGAGGTGAGACAAGCCAGGCCTCCATCCAGTCTGTAGACACTACACTGGAGTACCATGATGCACCACAGCCTGAGGACTTGATAGTGGAGGAGCCACTGCAGGAGGAGGCTGAGGGGGAAGATGTGAGGAGCTCCAAATTTGACATTCCAGCTGTATCAGTCTCACCTTCACAAGAGACGAGTGAGGAAGGACCTGCAGCCGCTGCTAAACTTACCCCAGGAGTAGAAGAGCAAGAACTGGCAGAAGATCAGGTCTCTTTTCCAGAAGTCCTGCCAAGGGAGGCTTTGAAACGGGAAGCACATCAGGAACAAATACCAGAACAGGAAGTGATTGAAGTGCAGGACCAGGAACCACCAGAGGAGCCTGTGGTGCTGGAATCTAGGGAGGATGCTAGTGAGTAGTAATCACAGCAGATTTAAGTTCCTCTGGGAACTGATGTGGAACTTATTATGGGTAGTTAACCTATGGCATTTCTCAGTGTAAGCTAAAGAACTAATTGTTAATGAAAAAAATCAGTACTTCCAGAACTTACTGTACAAACTAATCCTTTGCAAATGCAAGGTTGTAAATTTAGTGGTGACCGTACTGTACATGGGTTTTGAACACATTAGAAATGGTTTTGGAATCCATTGGAAAGTTTAAAAGATCAGATATGAAGTATTCTTTATGAGGGCATTGATTGGGTTTGTCGTCTTCTAGGTCTAGATGAGTTTGTGGAGCGCCATTTATTTGGTGAGGATCAATCCCCTACTTTAACACGCTTTGGTATCAAGGAGACATCTCAGGGATGGACATCCTGCTCCAGCAGGTAGATGATTTCTGTCATGCTTTGCTTTCTGTTCTGTCTAAAGTCTGTTTATACTTTACACACATCTTCTCGGGCTGTAATGGTTTGGTTTTCCAATGGTTTGGTATGATCATGGTTTTCAGGTCCATGATAACAGTATGGTTTCGGTAACTTTATATGTAAGAAAAAAAACACATTAGTATCACTGTTAAAAAGTAACCACAGGTAATTGCAGCACAGTAAGTGTAGATGGATAATCAGTATTGCATTTTCATAAAGATGACGACAGCTCTAAAATGAAGTACTCTTAATAGCCACTGTCAGTTTAATACTAGCAGCAGCACAGACAAAGAAACCAGCAGTTTACATGACACTCATTGCTACACGCTAATGAAATGTGCGCATTCCACAGCAAACATTAGTTACAACATTGACAATTATCCAGATACACAATTTATACCATTTAAAGATAAGTGCGGTGCGCTACCAAGTGTCGTCTGCTGACCAACCCCAAGGCGTCACATTGTCAGCCAGTTGTCGACAGTGGGGGGAATCACTGGTCATACAGGGTCATATTGCTGAAATGACGTTGCTTATGTTTGAAATTTTAGGCTACCTTTAGCCAGGTGGTGGATAATTTGCCATCTGCTGTTGCATAATGACGTTTAAATTCTAGCCCTCGATAATAAGACAACCCCAAATTCTTCAATGTGTGTTTTTTTTTTTTTTTGATACAAAAAAACACGTCTTTTATTCGCGTCAATGTGTATAGGACAATGATACACATATTGTAACACCGCAGTTCATGTGTGCGTATTGAGCTGTCGGGGGCATGCCGGCCGGTTCCATAATATGCCATGTACCTTTACACCCTTAATGTCTTCCAATGTGCAGTGAGTTCCGTAATAAGGAAGAGTGGAACACAAGTCCAGTGCTGGCAAAAGAGCCATCTGAGGCTTCTGCTTCACATGGAAGCACCACTTCAGAGTCTCCTTGTGAGTGTCCCTCTGTCATGTAGAACAGTCATAGTCATAGATATGGACTAATGTCTATTAAGAATTGAAACATAGTGCTAATTTATAGTATTTATAGTAATTTGCTAATCATATCTACAGTTCAATGCTTTTTTTTGTACTTTATTTGGAGTACTGAGTTTGTGTTTTTGATCCATTTGTGCTTTTCAGCTGTCGTGAGTCTGAATGAAAGTGAGGAGCTCTCCAGCACCTCTGAGGAGGAGGTCAATGATCCTGTGCAGGAAGATTCTGGAAGTGAGGTGGAAATCATAGGGGAAGACAAAGGCAATGGCAGCCATCCAGATCTGTTGAATGCTGGCGTCGTCCTGGAACAACTTCACAGCTCTCAGTACCTTGAGCAACAAACCGTGGTTCTGTCAGTGCTTAAACCAGAAATTCTGGAGGTAATTTTGATAGTCACATATTGAAGATTTGTAATTATTTTGGTCAATTAATACTATGAATGCTGTAATCATAGTGTTCCCCTGCCAACTTAAGTGTTAAGATGAATTTTTATACAGCACAATCAAGTTTAAGACATAATATCTGTTAACTTCTGCTTATGTGATGGCAGATTGAGGCTGGCGAGACAGAGGCAATGCTCATGCTCAACATGAAGACAGCAGATGAAGACGTGAGTGAACCAATTTTCACAGAGCTGAAGCCGTCTACAACTCTGCTGATTCCAATGGAGCCGGACGAAGAGAATCTGCGAATTCGGGGGCCTTTAGAACTGGGGGAGGATGTTGAATCTGAGGTTCCACATATGGAGCCACTCGGCAACTTCACTCTGATGCTGGAGGCAGATGCAGAAGAAAGGGACAATGAGCTGGCTAAGGCAGAGGTGGATGCTGACGTCATGATAGTGGAGCATTCTCTCTCGTTCGGTGGTAGTGAGCAACATGACGTAGTCCACTTAGGCAAACAGCCAGGGCACAGTGGTGGAGATGTGCCAGTGACCATGGATGTACACTTGCCTACAACTCTGCCAGATGTGATTGAACAACAAGTTGATGATGATTCCACCAAAGGCTTAACTGATGAACTTGAGGGATCACAGCAAAATGCCGTTAAGGCCTCCGAGGAACTGCCTTCAATTTCCATTGAGACGGGCGTTACTACAACAATACCTGAACATGTACTAGAAGCAGAGGTTGAAAAGCCAAAGAAAATTCAAACTGAGGAGCCAGATGTGGAGGGAGTGCCAGCCCATGTTGACGAAAAGGCACTAGAAAGTGCTAATGATACAAATGTTACGGAGCTTAAATTAGCTCAGGTTGAAAAGACGAAGGCTGACATTGCAGAAAATGTTCAGGAGGTAACCAGTACTGCAGTTGCTAGTGATTCAACTCAGGAGCTCAAAAAATTGAAAAAGGATCAAACACCACCAGTGGTAGAAAAGACAGGATTTATGAATGAGGAACTGACTGCTGCCTCAGAGAGGCTAACCAGGCAAAGAAAAACAGTGAGTTTTCCTTCTCCCCTTGAAGAACCAGAAAATGACGTGCAGTCACAGGAAAACGCTATAGAACAAATGGATTCTCAAGTGCCCTTAACTCCAAGAAGGCGAACTCGGAGTGTTAAGCATGGGCAAGATTCAGAAGTTCCTCTTACACCAAGGAGATCCTCAAGACTTGCGGAGAGCAGCCAGTTGCTGAAAGAGGAGGAAGTTTCAGTTGGTATTGACATTGCTATCTCAGACACTGACAGCTCCAAGCCACAGACTCCACAGAAGGCTACTCCAAGGAAGGGTACCCGCAGAACCAGGAACACAAACGCGGCTGTGGATGAAGACATCAAGGTCATGGAGGAACCAAGTGAAAAAGAATCTGCAGAATTGCCTGTGACACGTGCCCGCAGTGCCAGAAAAGCGAAGGCTCCCAATGCTGAAGTACCTTTGACCAGCCTTGCTAATCAAGAAGTGCCAGGTAATCAGCCCCCAAAGACACCTAGCAGTCCAGGCAGAGTCATGCGCAAATCTCGAGGAATCACTCTCGCCCTAGAGCTGTCTCAAGTGGAGCCACAAGAAGTCCCTTTAGTTATGGTAATGACCCCTAAACGGAGCACAAAGAAGACCAAAGAGGGACATCTGGAGAACACAAATGTCCCTCCTATTGCTGAGGAGTTACCCCAAATCAGAAGTTCTCGACGATCAACAAGGAGCCAGCTGTGGAATCACTTGGGTAGTTTGGAGGCCAAAAAAGAGCTCCCTCTTCTGGAGACGTCTCTGGAGGTTGAACCTGGAACACAACTGGCAGAAGCAGTTATGGAGAGACTCAAAGACACCAAAGAAGGATGGAAAGAGATGGATTCTCCAGCTAAAGTTACAGAAATAGTTCGTTCCAAGCGGAGAGTTACAAAAGCGGTAATTGATCAGGTTCCCTCTCCTCCCTCCAAGACGCTAGAACCTGATGACAAAAAGGTGGTGCAGAAAGAGACAGAAGTAACAGAGGTTAAGCCCAGTGAGAAACAGGTGCTGGATAAATCAAGGGCACGGAAGACAGGCAGAAGCACACGGCCAAGTACGATTGCTGAACCTGATTCTTCTCCAGTACGGCATACATTTATCTTCTCGCCACCTCAGACCAGAGGAAGAACAAAAGGTAAATGTAGAGCAGGTGAAACATCAAAGCTCAATTTCTAAGAATTCATTAACATCCAGTTTTGCTGCATGCATTTCTCAAGAATTTAAGTGTTAAGGCCACAATTGTAAGCTTGTTTTTCCCATCCATCCTCTACAGGGATAAAGGCTGATTTCAACGAGCAGAATGACACCCCCATGCCGCAGTTTACCTTTTCCCCTCCAGCCACTCGAGCAAGGCGGCCAGCAAGCAGCACCGTACCTGGCCCTGCCACTCAGGTACAAACTTCTGTCATCCAGCTATCAGCTTTGTCAAAATGTTGATCACTGTTTCTCAGCAGTCCTGTGTTTACCAAGCTGAATTCCCCATAATTTGGTTTGTTTAACAACAAACCTCATATCTGGTGTTTTTTCCCTGTTAGGGAAAGCACACAGAGGATGCTGTTCCAAAAGTAGAGGTGAAAGAGGCTGAAGATTCCAAGCCCAGGAAGAAGAGAACTACAAAGTAAGTGCTAGTTTTAACGCTGAAACCGCTTGATGCAATTGATATTGACATTACCTAGTTTTGATGCTAGTTTTTGTCCAAATGGCAAGGTTGTACAGTGTTTTGTTCCTGACACAGGCTCCATTTGTTGAAAGGCATGCATTTAGGTGTTTGTTTTACCTGTAGTGTACGTGCTAGGGCTGCACAATGTCGCGGTCATGCATCGCATGCAAGATAATCACCAGTGCTTTAATATCGGGCAAAACATTTATCAGGAGGGCAGAATTTCGGTGCTATACAGATGCTTACACCCACAATTTGGTTAGCAGATTAGTAGTGTGGCTACAATATTAGTGAGAGACATATTGTGATGCCCAGAAGTTAGTAATCTGTATAAATTCGGCATATCTTTGTTTAAATAATGTCTGACTTTAACTGCAAAAAGTACTGCATTGCACTAGCATCTTTTTACCTTGTTCATCCACACTATCTCCTCCTTTAAAAGAAGTTGTAGCTGTTGGTGTACTCCGCTAACCGAATGTAGTAGACACAAGGATGGTTATACCAATTACTACCTGTTGAATGTCACGATTCACCTCTCATTAATACTTTAGGTGCACTACTAATCTACTTGCCAAATTGTGGGCCTAAGTAAATATCCGTATAGTATCGAAAAGCTTAACTCCTGACACACGTTTACGCATGTCACCTAAAGCCCTGGTGATTATTGCGCATGTGTCGTATAATCGCAATTTCATCACGAGGTGGTATCGTGTAGCCCTAGTATGTGCCATCATGTCATTCTTTGGTGGTGTGTTTTCTGTAGTAAGCTTAATGAAACCCAATCGGGGATAAGCAGAGATGAATGTATGGGTGGGTTTTGTCCAGAAAGCAACCAGGTATAATGTCTGTCTGTCTTTTGCAGGGTGAAGGCAGTAGCTGTGGCCCCCCTACCCGTAGAGATAAATTTGGTCTCCCCCATGGCCAGCCCTGCAGAACCAGCTGCCCCTAGGTCAAAGAAAGGACAAGTGGCTGAAGGTGTCCCCCAGAGAATGACCCTGCGGCGTAAACGCACGCTGGAGGTAGTCTTCCCAAAACCAGTCACACGAAGGAAGATGTTCTGATTGGCTGCAGCAGGCGCCCCAAGTGTCCGTTCCAGGACAGGACATTGAGACAATCGTCATCGAGCTCCTGCCACATTTTTTCCTTCTCTTTTTTGCCTGCGTTTTTTTCTTTGTATTTAAACACAACCAGTGTTTTTAAATTAATAAACATGTAATCTGAGAAGAGCTTAATTTTATATAAATTATTGACATTTTTGCAAGACAGATGTTCCAAGATATGTTTAAAAAAAAAAAAAAAAAAAAGACAAGTTCATACATTTATATAAAACAATGCAAATGTGTAAATAGCAATTTAGGTATAAATAAAACTAATTAATGACATGCCTTTTGTGGTGTTAATATTTGTTCTAGTTTTGATTTCACCATTTAAAAAATGATAGATACTGGGTTGTTCACTTTTACTTTCAAGTCTTGTCCACAAAAGAGCATGTAAATGGTTTGATACTTGCAGAATGTTAGTTTTAACCAAAATGATTACTTTTGCAGTGAGGGCTCTGATAGAAACCTGCTTTATTTTTTATACAAAACTAGGTATAGAAGATGAATGGATGGATGGATAGTCTTTGGGGGGGGATGTTTTATCATGGGTTTTTCACTTTGTTTATGGATAACCCTGATTTTTGTGTAATGTATTGTTTAATCATGTATGTGATTGGGTATTGGTTTGTATTTTGGCTATGAGCGGTCACTGCACACCTACGCAGGCTGTTTAGTGACACCAGTGGAGTTGAGCATGGCAACTCATGTACATATTTGTTCCTTAATTTTGGAATAAAGTCTTAACACTAGCTTAAGTGATGTGTTTCACCTCAAAAAGGTGTATCTAAGAACACGGGCCTTATTTCTAACATTTTGCGACTTGCTTGATTTATTTAGCTGTGTTCCATGTCGTTAATGCACTGAAAAGTTCCCCTTGATTGAAAGTGACCTTTAGGGAAATGTATGCGATGATCTCATCCAGTAAATAAACCATGGCTGAAACTCTAGATTAGTTCTCTAAATTAAAAACATCCATGGTAAATATTGTCATCTGGGGTTTTCTCTGAAACCAAAATGTAAATCCACGTTACGACGGTTGTGAAATATCATGATTTTGGCTCAACTTTTATGCTTCAAGACCAATGTAATATATCCTCATTCAGGACTTAGTTTAAATAAATGGAGCCTTAGTCTGGTCCATATCATGTACATTTTGCAGTACCAGCTTTTGCATTTAATTTTTTTTAATAGCCTGCTGTTCAACTCTGCAATTGTTGTAGCAGCTTTTGCTGGGGAAAGTGCCTTAAATCTATGCAATTTTATAAAACTATAGTTTTTCATTTCACAATACAGACCATGATCTTCAATAAACACCCAAATCAAGTTTTCTTTGGAATTTTTATAATGTTTTGGTGCTTCATCTGGCTCTATAGCTAACAATCTGGATATCTTCGCTTTATTAGTTGAAATAGGGGAAGCAGTCAGCAGTGTTATTCATCATCGTCCTATTAGCTGAAGCTAACAGCCAGATACGTGTTGCTCATGAGATACGACAGTGAGGCTCCTATGATCACGCCTCATTATTAATGTATAGTGGTGCACCATGAAAGATGACACCTCCATCTCCTGTTACTTTACTAGTCGTGTCGGAGAACTTTCCCTTGTCCAGTTAGCAGCAGCACCATGAGAGGGCGGGGAGCTGAAATGTCCGGGAAGGACTGCGTGAAAGTGGCTGTTCGAGTCCGGCCCTTTAACAAGGTTAGTCGTGCTGAGAGATTGGTTCACTTCCTGAATTGAATTTGTATCACTTTAAGGAACATTTTGTGTTACTGTGGCTGGTGCTGATGCTGTATTTACACCAGGGGTCTGACTTTTATTTACAATCAGAGATACGTTTGATAAAAGATGATACCAATTGGGTGTCAATGAATCAAACTGAAATTCCTCATAATGCCCCAATGTACATGTGTGTGAGCATAATGATCGTAATTCTAAGAAGTGTTGCTAGTGGTGGTGTTGACATGTTAATGGATACGGAAGAACAGAAGAAGTAAGAACAGCTAGATAGGTGAAATTCACCCTTAGCCTGCGGGGTTTTTGCGTTCTTGTTAGTGCCTTTTAAAACAAGGCTATAGTAGGCAAAATTTGAGTGGAATCCATAACTGCACTGAGATGTGGCGGCCTGTTAGGTGAATTGCACGCTATCCACTGAACTATAGCGAGAGCGGGACGCGGGCAGCCGCTGCGTGATTTCCATGGGCCCCAACACCACCACCATCCTCGATCCACGCACACAGCAGGCGCGCACTTTCACCTTCGACTACGCCTACTGGTCTCACAGCGGCTTTGTCCGGAACAAAGATGGCCTCTTCGTCCCAGAGGAACCAGGGAGCCGCTATGCAGACCAGGTCAGCAAATGTCAGCTACAAAGGTGGACATTTCAGGTCTAGAAAATAAAACTTCCTGGACCTGAAACACCTACCTCTGGTTAGGTAGAGGAAACTAATTCCTAAGCCTCCTTAAACCTGCACCTTAAATGTATCATTGTCTACAACTGTTGCTGCCAGATGATATAGAACAGATTGGTCTATATAATAATCTTGGACAAAAGGTGTGTGCTTTATTTTCGCTGAGATTTACAGTCCTTTCAAAACAGCTGTAATGAATTTTACTAGAATAGGTTTAAGATCTTGTAGAAACAAATGATTCCTTTCTTAGATTCTGGGTAGCAGGGGATTCCAGCCTTAGTCCATGTCTGTGTACAATTATTCAACCTAATTAATGTTGCCTTTGAAGGTGCTAGTAGCTTCAGTTTATCATACCAACCTGCATGTGAGTCAGTGTCTGTAGGAATAGTTGTTCAACTTCTGGCTCCCTTATTGTCCTATGCATGGTCCAACAGAACAGCGTGTTCCAGGACCTGGGCCAGGGCATCCTGGAGAATGGCCTGCAGGGCTATAATGCTACTCTCTTAGCATACGGCCAGACGGGTTCTGGGAAGAGCTACTCTATGATCGGGTATGGCCCCAACAAGGGTCTGGTGCCATCCCTCTGTGAGAGGCTGTTCCAGGCCATCAAGATGAACCAGGAGAGTCGGCAGTGCCAGGTATGCCGGTCCTTTGGCAGGAAATGATCCATAACATTTAGCCATAAATGCTCGTGTGAGTGTTTTTTTCCACCATTCTGTTTAAATCAGGTGCAATGATGTGGAAACTGTTATTGTTAGATAAATATAGATCCCCTATACTGTTCTGGCTCGTTAAAACCACTGAAGTCAGTATTTTATTCAGAAGCTTATTTTATTTTCAGAAATGAACATTTATAATTAATTGATTTTTACAATTTCCAGCTGTTTTTCAGCATGCTGGAAATCTACAACGAACAGGTAAATACACAGATCAAGATTTCACCTGAGCTTTCCTGCTCTAACTCTCTGCCCACTGTGTCCACCCGCATTGCACAGTGTGTCACCCTTTGCGGTGCTTCAAGTCCGCCTATTAAAAGGTGATCGGCAAGTACCAGCTCGGAGTTTGTTCCCCATGCAGGTGATTGACCTGCTCTGGAGGGGCCCGCGCTTGTCCGGAGGCCTGAAAGTGAGGGAGGATCAGCAGCGGGGCTTTTACGTGGAGGGTTTGCGGAGGGTGCCGTGCGAGAGCGCCGCCCAAGTGGCACAGCTGATGGAGCAGGGCACGCGCACACGCACCACTGCCACCACCCACATGAACGCCAACAGCAGCCGCTCCCACATGCTCATCATTTTGCAGCTCAAGCAGGTGTTTGGTTGTGCATATCATGTGCATGTGTTGCGATCGACTGGGAATGTCTTTGCGATCGACTCGTTGGTGTCCACTAGTCTATAGGTCCATAGTCACAGTTCAAGTGTGGTGCTACATTCAGCCATTTGTCTGTAAATTGTTTGACCTACATGAAACATGCCAAATCAGTGGAATCAAGTTGATGTCCATTTATTGTTACAAACTGGCATCCCTAAATCATCTGCTTCTTGTACTCCTTCTCCTTCTTCTGGTGATGAACAAGCGCTAATTAGGCCTGGGTAGAACCATGACTGAATCGTGTCGGCCTGCCTGCTGACGTGCTTTGCTATTTTTACATGCTCCAGTTGAATCTGCCTACAGATTTTCTCCAAGGAGAACACCACCAAGGAGTCAAACATGAACCTCGTTGACCTGGCAGGGAGTGAGAGACAGAGGACCTTGGCATCCGAAGCAGACCGGCTGAAAGAGGGCACAGCCATCAACCTTAGCCTAACCACCCTGGGCAATGTTATCAGGTCACACAGGATTATGGCCATTTACTTGACAAAAGTACTTTTTAAATGATTGATGCATAGAAATTGCAGAATAGATTAGCTTAATCCAAAAGGATACATCCATTAGTCTTCCAACTGCTTCTCCAGGTTAGGGTTGTGGTGATCCAACAGCATGATCACACATATTAACATACATCATTACTGTTTAATGAAAATCAAGTATCTCCGAAAATCCATTTCAGGCACGTAGAAACTACTTTGCTGAAAAATCTAAAGCAGCATAATGAGATACGCTTAACACCATAAATAGAAACCTGTCTTTACACAGCCGTCAGTAAATAGTTTAATGTTTTAAATGGATTTACATGAGTTGTTGCCAGTGAGGCAAATATGTCAGTTTCAACATGATACAAACTAATCTCACTTTTCATATTCACAATTAACAATGACGTTAGCTAGCTAGCTATTTTGCTACCAATGTCCATCCATCCATCCTCCTGAAACCGCTTGTCATATTCAGGGTCGTGGGGGTCCAGAGCCTATCCTGGAGGCTATGGGCGCAAGGCAGGGAACAACCCAGGATGGGGCACCAGCCCATCACAGGGCACACTCACACATCCACACCTATGGGCAATTTAGTAACTCCAATCAGCCTTAGCATGTTTTTGGACTGCGGGGGGACACTAGAGAACCTCGAGGAGAACCTTCGGGAGAACCTCCGGGAGAACCACACATTAACTCCACACAGATGGACCCAGGGTCAAGAGGATCCCAGAGGTGTGAGGCAGCAGTGCTAACCACTGTGCCACCATGCCACCTCACTAACCAGTACCACAGCTTTATATCAGAAGTGTTACAGTATTAACTAAACCAGGGTTTCTCAACCCAGTCATCGGGGACCACCAGACGGTCCACATTTTTGCTCCCTCCCAATTGTCAGGGAATTAGGAGGGAGCAAAAACGCGGACCGTCATCCCCGATGACTGGGTTGAGAAACCCTGAACTAAACAAGACGTTATGCTATTATTGCTAAAAGACTTAGCATCCTTCAGGTTAGCCTTAGTCCATGTGCATATGTGTGCACAGCATGCTTCAGGTTAGCCTTAGTCCATGTGCATATGTGTGCACAGCATGCTTCAGGTTAGCCTTAGTCCATGTGCATATGTGTGCACAGCATCCTTTTTCTCCTGATGTGGGGTCTGTGGTGGTCGCCTATTTTGAACCCTGAGGTCACCACCCGCAGCTCTCTGGCAGAGGTGGCGATGGGAAAGCGGGCGGTCTACGTCCCGTACAGAGACTCAGTTCTCACCAAGCTGCTGCAGTCTGCGCTGGGGGGCAACAGCCGCACCATCATGGTGAGAAACCGTGGATGGAGACCACCCCAGTGCCTCACAATTAATCAGATTGTTGGTATGTAACGAAATCTGCGAGTGCGCTGTCTTTCAAACAAGCGGCTTTTTCTCATCCAAAGATTGCAACCTTGAGCCCAGCGGATACATGCTATGAAGAGTCTCTCTCCACATTACGCTATGCAGAAAGGTAAAGTGTTATGCATAATAGGTCATGCGTAATAGTCGAAAGGAGTTATGCATAACAGTTGAAAGTTCAATGCTAAGCTAATGATGTAATCAAATCACAAGATTGTTAAGATTGTAAAGATATTTCCAAATTTGGAGAAACCCCTTAATCATTTTGGTCAGTGTAACTGACAGTGTAAGCACATAAGACCAGTTAGAACAGTTGAGAAAACACATATATTTACTATTTCTTTTAAGTATTGCACAAGAAAAGATTCAGATTTTAAATTGGTGGTTAGTGATTAACATAGAAAATCTGAACATATTGGTTTTTCATAACCATGAACAGGTTGTCTATGGAGTAAAATGTAGTACTTGCATGATGAAGGTGGGTCCGTGTGTGGATCTCCTGCCAGGGCAAAGCGGATTCAGAACCGGGCCGTGGTGAACGAGAGCCCCACCGAGCGTCTCCTGAAGGAGCTGAAGGCGGAGAATGCCAAGCTGCTTCTGCGTCTGGCCCGTCTGGGGCACGAGGGCCGCCAGGCAGACGACAAGACAAGTGGGCCGTTGTTCCTTTTACTTTTCCGGCCATTGCTCGCTCCCAAAGCAGTTTACCTAGCAGTCTCACTCTTTATCATTTAGCCCAGAGGATATTGTACAGAAGTCGAAAATGTTGTTTGTGTTGCCAGTGTGAAATTAGGGTTAGTGCTGGGGTTTGGGTCCCTATTAAGGAAAGAGCTAGAGCATAATAGTAGTAGGTTTAGAGCTACTGTTATGGTCAGAGCTGGGCTTAGGGGTAAAATTGATATTCGGGTTACATTTAGGGTTAGGGTTACACAGGTTATGGCTATTGCAGACATTCAAAGGTTCTTTTTTTATAATAGTTCTGTTCTCCCACATCCAGGAAAACCCAAGTTTAGCTGGGTTATCACATTTGTCATACTTTAAAGGAGCCTGTTGTATAACCCTAAGTCCCCAAATTAGGGTTAAGGTTAGAAAGGTTAAGACTTTAACTGACATCCAAAGGAGTTTTTATGATAGTTCTGGGTCCCTGTATCCAGGTAAAAGCACAATTTCGCTGGGTTTGCTGGAATTTTGAATACTCTCCTGGAGCCTATTGTGTAACAGAAAGTCCCTAGAATTAAGGTTAGGGTTGCTTTTATCTTAAGAGTCAGAGTGAGAGTTAGATTGAGAGTTAGACTTAGCTTTGCTGTTAGGGTTAGAATTTCTGTTAGGCTTAGAAGAGTACTTGTGAGTTATTAGGGTTGCATTGATTTTCACATAGCAACCCACTCAACCTACAAATATTGCAAATATAAAATTATAATTAGTGACTAATCTTACTGATTAGACACTGCAGCAATCTTTAACAGTTTAAGTCAGGAGTGGGGTGTGTGACTTGTGGAGGAGATCAGTGATGAAAGTGGTAATTCAGTATTCTGTGATAACTTTCTGGCATGGACACCGTTAGGTCTGATCACTCAGTCTGATCACTTAAGCCTAGCCCCAAGATTTTAGACAGTCTTCCATCAAAAAAAGTCAAACCCCAGGTAAACTTGACTTAAACCCTGATCTTTTCAATAGCTAAAGACTCCCCTGCTTTCTGGTATTATGCCTTTAAACTTTGAGTGTCTACCTGTGGTCATGTGGGACGATCCCTCGTAACTGATAACCTAAATCATTGTCTTCCAATCCAGTCCTTGGGGACCCACAGACAGTCCACGTTTTTACTCCCGGTAGGTAGGGATCTGGGAGGGAGCAAAAACTTGGATTGTTTGGCAGGGAACTCGGAGGGAGCAAAAACATGGACCAACTGTAGGTCCCTGAGGACCGGACTGGGTAACACTAATCTAAATGTTGCATTTGCACAGAGGAGTTACGCAAGTTACTGACCCACAATGAGCTGCAGATCCGTGCCATCCAAACCCTATGGGAACAGCACCTGCAGGAGGCGCTCAAGGACTGGGAGCAGCAATATGCTACTATTACTCAGGTCTCAGTATCACTTCTTTGTCAGCAGTCTGATCGGTTTATCTTGTCCAGTAACAATGTAGCCCCACAAAGCTATGATTCACAGTTAAGAATCTCCCTAGGTTTGCAATAATAACCATGATAATGTAATGCTATAGACCATCAGGATTACTAAAACAGTACAAACACTGTTTTGCCAACAGAAATAATTCTCTTGAATATCAAACCATTTTTATTTCTTCCTCTGTCTCTGATATAGGAGAGGAGGATGATCCAGATGTATCCCTACATCCTTAACATCAATGAAGACCCTCAGCTCTCTGGGGTGATCAAGCTTTTTATCCAGGAAGGTGGGTTTTTTTACTCCTCGCTGATGATGTCACACCGACAGCCAGCCAATCACATTGGACAGACCCATGGCATGTTATTAGCGCACTTAGAATTCAAGTGGTCAGATCCAAAGCAGCAGCTGCCTATTTCCCAAGTGGGAACTAACCTCTGTTATACTGTCATGTGTATTTTTGGGTTGTTTTATATTCAGACATCATAATTACACTGTACTTCACTTTATGATTTACTGTCATAATTTGTTGCTGAAGTCATGAGGACATCAACCCTAAATGCAGCTGTACTGTGCTCAGTTTATACCACGCAGTACATTTTTTGTAATTTTCACCTTGTCCACCTTAATAACATAATATGAATAATATGTATACATATACAACCCATACAGAGACTCACTCCTTAGCTATATAGTCAGAGTTCTTTTATTGTCATTTATACATATTACAATGAATTTCATTCTTGCATGCTTGCTGCAGATCAAACTATCAAATCAATACAGAGCTATAATTGCAGCAAGACAATCGTAATATAATATAATAATACAATTAATATACAGACACTCCTCTACTTACGAGCTTTCAACTAATGAACTTTCAGACATACCAACGAAGAGGACTGTAAGTCCAAATTGTGTTCCTTGGGCTCCCGTTTCCTGTGCGCAACATCAATTTTTTTTCTGCACACCAATCCCGCCTAGTACGCATTCTGGCCGCTACTCCCGCCGCGCAGCAGCGTAGCGTGCGAACTCCCAGCATCCTAGTTATTTGTACTTACGTATACCCTTAAAATGATGTTGAATAACGACTTACGAACATTTAAAGTTACGAACGGCTTTTCGGAACGTATCTCGTTCGTAAGTAGAGGAGCGTCTGTAATGATGTGTGTGGTTTGTGTCTGACATATAGGTGAATGGGACATAGGACTGTCAGACTCCACACCCCGTGCCGTCACAATTAAAGGACTTGGGTAAACAAATGTTAATTTCCTTTTCTGACATTCAGCAGCTGGAAAATGTATTGCTGTGACTTTCTTTGAGAATTGCAGCCATCCAACCAACATGAAAGACCTGGAGCAAGTCTGCCATGAAGAATGGGCAAAAACCAGTTCCGAAGTGTAAAAAACTGGTAGCTACTAACCCCAAAATATTTAGCGTGGTTATTGCAGCAAAAGCTATAGGGCTTCAATACTTGTACAAGCAGCATTTTTCAGGTTTTGATTTTTTTTTGCAAGATTTGCTGACTAATAATTGATTTTGACTTTGAACATTTACTCGAGACAGTGATTGTAATAAAAATCGAGACAGGAAGAATATGTGAATGCATTATTTATAATGCAGAGAAATCAATCAATTCATATGCAAGCCAATGTAAATATAGAATATTACTAGAGAAATTACTTGCATTGCTGCCGCTATCTGTCTTCAGCATTCAGGAGAAACATGCGGTATTTACCAATGTAGAGCGGAGGGTGTCCATCATCCCGGTGGGACAGGCCAAGCTCATTGTCAACGGAGTGTCTGTCCCCTGCAGAACACAGCTGCAGCACTTGGTATGTTCCTAACTGAACTGCAACATGTGCAATAAACTCCACTTTCATACATCACCAGTATTAGATTGTACAGCAGTCTTTTCCTGCAGAGTTTAACAAAGGCAAAACCAGCATGAGCTTATATGATTGTTTGATTTACCAAGTAAGCCAACAGAGTTCATGTAGGCATATATGAAAAGCATCTATGTTAGGAGCCATGTGACCCTAAGCCTAAGCCTAAGCCTAACCTCGATCACCTGGGTAGTCCCCACGCTGTACTTCTGGCCTGATGACTGTATTTATGCATTTTGCCTCTGGACCTGCAACAGCCACACGGTGCTTATCCATTTAGTGGGACATTTTTTCGAATTGCAAAGTGTGAAAACATATATAATATGCATAAATAATTTGCATTGTAAATAAAAAATAATGGACCTTATGAAGGAACATTCAGTTGCATGGATACAGGTGTCACCTGTTGTAGAAGTTATGGGACTTTTTTGGCAACTGAAAGCAAGAGAACTGACCATATGCATGAATATCTCCCATAAACACATGAAAATCAATGACTGAAATGCAGATTTTTCATCCTGTCATACCTGTTTTATCCCATCATCCATGCATCTGCCTCTTCCCCTGCAGCTGTGGCACAAGGCTCCCCTGAACACATGCAATGATAAAAACTTGAAGTTTGAAACCTACTGTTTTGGTTTGCTGTTGCCAGGACAGGCTCATCCTTGGTTCCAACAGCACGTACCTTTTCATTGGCTTTCCTTCGGAGCGGGACGGAAATGATTGGAGTCGCTATGACTACGACTATTTTCAGTCTGAGCTGGCTGCTGCGGAGGGCATCCACATTCACTCGCTATGTGAGGAGAAGAGCTTGGGTGAGGGGAATCGTCGTGTGTATGTGTGTGTATCTGCTTGTGAGTGTATACAGAGTTAGTCTGACTCCCCTTGCCCCTTCCAGGAAGCCCCAGGGGTGGGCGGGGCCATCCAGACTCCAGCTTGCTGGCGGTTTTCTATGACTACATCAAGCTGATGCCCATGGTGGCAGAGGCCAATCAAATGAGTCAGGAACTCAACAAGGTGAGGAGAATTCGAGTGGGAAATGTGTCTCTCCTGGGTTATTGTAGCAGCTTCAACACATGAATGATGGTTACACTTCCTGTGATTGCCATGTCTATAAGAATCTATGAACACATTAATAACATATAATGCTTTCATAAAGCATTATAAACATGGCTATAATATTAATAAAAAAGGCATAACACATTATAGCCATGTTTATTATGCTTTCTGAAGCTCTTATCTGTAATGCAGTATGGATTCCTTCATAATACAGTACAAAATATTCTTAATGCTTATACTGACCATTATAATGCATTATGAAGGTATCTATAGTGCATTGTAGACAGCAGCTTTAAGTAAAGTGTTACCAGAATGACCTTGCAAGATTTTTTCTCTAATGTTAGTATTAAGTACTTAAGGATTAATAGAGTATTAGGGTTTTATGCTTTATATCTGCATTGCTTGATATGGAAATTGGTTTGATTGCATTTTCAGGGAGTTTTTTTCAAGCTTGAGATCAAGAACCTCGCTATGTCTGATTCCAAGGGTCATGACCTAGAAAAAGAGATTGCTGTTAGGGTTATGTCGGTGGAAAACAAGCAAGTAAGAAAATACCCAGCACTGAAAATCACTCTGTCTTTTTTCTGTATTTAAATAATGTTCTGAAGAGCATTGTTTGCCAACCTGGTCCTTGGAGACCTCCAGATAGTCCACGTTTTTGCTACCAGGAGCTCGGAGGGAGCAAAAATGTGCACCATCTGTGGTTCCCTGAGGACTGGGTTGGGAAACACTGGTATAAAGGGGCTTTCAGTTTCTCATGATGCTATAGCTGTTATTTGTGTGTTCATATTTAAAGATCAAAACAAGGCAACAAACTGAGTCACTGTGGTTGCCATGACGACATGCTAAAATGGTAGTAGCGGAAAAATAGTTTTCTTAACTCGGTGCAGCTGCGTTGGAATCACTTTTCAATAGTTTCATATAAATACGTCGTGATAGAAAGGAATAGGAAGTAGTGTGGGAGTTAAGCGTATAAACCCGTGCTGTTTTACACTTAGGAAAAGGTGCTTCAATTGTCAGTGGGTAAAATAGAAAGATGCTTTGGATATTATACACTTGATTCTGCCAGTTGACTTGAAGTGTATAAAGTCCTCCCCCTTTTTTTTCTCACGTCCTATTATGAATGTCTGTCTGTCTCTCTATCTGTCTGTCTGTCTCTCTATCTGTTTGTCTGTCTCTCTATCCATCTGTCTGTCTATGTCTGGTTGTAACGTTCTTTCATGGCTCTCTGTCTGTCTGTCTGTCTCTATCTGTCTGTCTGTCTGTCTCTCTATCTGTCTGTCTGTGTCTGGTTGTAACGTTCTTTCATGGCTCTCTGTCTGATGATGATAGGGTAAGAGGGTGGGGGGGGGGGCAGAGTGGCTTCACATAATGCTTTGAACTTGCAATGCAAATTAAAAATAAAGTAGTCCTCCATAGATGGGGGGTGGTGGAGGGAATACAAAAAAGATGCTTTGAATAAACACTTTGATTTAGTAGCTCAATAATAATTGAAAGGAAGCAGGGGGTAAGAAATCATTAAAACAAGCAATTTTCTGCCCGTGTGCTGCCTTTCATCAGGTGTGGATGTGGTCCAAAGCTAAGTTTATCAATCGTAAGTTTTTAATGGAGGAGGCGTACCAGCAGCAGGTGGTGCAGGGGGAGTGGTGGGACGGATCAGCCCTCCCCAGGGATGAAGACCCCTTCTGGGACCCGCTGGAGCCTCTCCACCTGGGCAGCGCTCACCTCTGGCTGCAGTCGCTGGCCTTCCGAATACAATTAGAGGAGCAGGTGGAGGTGCTGGGACCCGAGGGGACTGAGGAGGCCATGCTGCAGTTACAGCTGGTCCCCTGCAGCCCAGCAGGATTGTGGGTAATATTATTGCAATTTTGGAGGGACAGCATTCTAGTTGTATGAGGAGGCCATATGGTGCATGAGCATAACGTAATACAACGTAAAACTACATGGAAATGATAAGAACACTAATAACAAAGAGAATGGTTTTTCTGCTGCTTTTGGACAAGCGGATCCTTCTTTCTCATGTAGCATGAGTCTTGCTTTTATTTATATGCTGCTTATAATAAAACATTGATTGAATTTGGCCTCAGTACAGCATTCAAACTGAAAAATATTCCTTTTAGGGTTTCATCAAACACTAACTGTGAAACTGTAAATTCACACCGAAACTCTAATTTTTGTACAATCAAGCAAAACAAACGGAGCAGATACAGGCAAACGGATCATTTTCTGTGTTCCCTCAAGGCCTCTTGGTGAAGACGGCATCCTCATCGACCCCAGCGAGCTGCTGGGGAGGAGGCTGGACTTCCAGCTGGTGCTGGAGCAGTGCGGCGGCGTACGCTGGCTGAGAGAGGCCAAGGACCGCGGCGTGCAGATCGCGTGAGTTTGGTTATGCTTTGGCCGGCAGTGCTGACAGTTTGCGATTAAGCAGAGGCCACATAGCTTGGCAAAGTGGGCAGCATCCTTAGTATTGTACCACAGTCAACTATATTTTGTTATTCTGGCCCTGGTGAATGAAAAGTGTAGATATTTTTGTATCATGCATTTAGACAGTATTGTGCAAATGACCTGAGCCATAAAAGAAAATGATGTTCAAATGACCTTCATGTTGGTGTCTGTCAAAGTGAGTCAGCTTAGTCATTTCAAACCTTCTCCTAAAGTCTCCACAGTGTTTGCAGCCACCATCCAACACGCCCACGTATTTTTTGACTTCTAATTAAATAAATAAATTAAGTGAGCTGGTGGTGAAATTTAATGAATACATGGAACGGCTGAGGTGCCCCTGAGGAGAGGTTTGGGAACTGAAGCGATGTTCATCTAGCCATCCAAGAAGATATCTGTAACTTTTTGAAGAACAGAAGAATTTCTTTTTAGTTTTTATTGTGTTACTTTTAATTTGCATATGTTCTTATGTTAAATTGTGTTTTTTCTTCTGAGCAAATATTATTTGCCGAATGACTCTCCAGATAAATAACATTATAAATTTTCTTTCATGGCTCAAGACTTTTACATAGTACTGTATAATGTACAATAATCCTTTGTAGAAATATAATACACATATAGTAAGGGTATATTATTGTCTACATCTGTGCCTGGTATGTTGCATGTTTCACAGACTTTTCCTTGATCTTGTTTTTCACAGTTGGAATTTATTCTTAGAACTGCATACCAACTATGAGTCAGAGTATTTAACTTCAGAGTGATTGGGAAAATACCATTACAATTACATGTAGAGTGATTGGGAAAATACCATTACAATTACAAGTAGAGTTCTCTGACTCCTCAGTCATTCTGTGATCTTCAGAACTGAGAAGTTCATGGGACTTAAAATACACACTTTCAATTTATGTCCTTGAATATTGAATACTGAATGCCAAATCTTTTATTCGTCAAGTACAGAAGAGAACTAGGAATTTCTTTTGACGTGGGTGGTGTCATGACCAAGCAAAATTAAACGTACAACTAAACATCTAAGAGTAAAGATACAAGGACAAATAAGTAGAATAAGGCAAAAAAAATATGTCTTTTACAGGAGATGTGCAAAGATGAGACAAGCATGTTGATGTTTAGTCTTTCTGAAGCTACATATAGAGAATGTCTGTCCCTGTCTGGTTTAATCTATAACCTATCGCATTAGATGGCAAATTGCATTTCGTTGTCTCAGTACTTGTACTTTGTTCAATGACAGTAAAGCTGAATCTAATCTAATCTAAGAGGAACCAAGATGGAAAAGCACTGTTGAGATATGAGCTTGTTTTGTAGGTGAATTAGCTTATTAACATCTCATGGTAGTTAAATGTTCACAAACGCCACCTCTCGCAAAGGGCCTTCCGTGGACCTTCTGCTCAGTTACAAACACAAAAACAATGAAATGATGACATATTATGGGAGAGAGCAAAAACGTGGACTGTGTGGAGTCCCCGAGGGCCAGCCGAGAGGCTCTGATTTGGGACGTAATTTGTTTTTACTGAAGATGCTAAGAGGATCAGAGTTCATTACTCAGCTTCCAGCAGCTGGATCATCTACCAGTGGCTGCTCTCTTCATTTACCAGTTATTCTATTACTAAACCACGACTCTCAGTCTTGATTACACTCCTCCCTCAGGTTCAGGGTGTACAATATCCCCCAGCCCTTCTACACAGCACCAGTATGGCACAATGTTAACCCCCTGCTGGACTACAGGGTGCAGTTCACTGTGATCAATACATCCCAAGACCTCCTCAACTACCTGCAGAGCAGCGCCCTGGTGCTGGAGCTCTGGGGCCTGCAAGGTAATCTTTAAGGCCAGCAGAATCTGTTTATGTTCTCTAAATGAATCTCTACTTCCATTTGTGTCACGTGATTTATAAGTCACATGATTTGCTGATAGTTAGGGTGACCAGATAATCCACGTCAGGGGACACTTTGAGCTACTTCAGGTTTTGCCGACTTCTTTAAAACTGAAAGGCTCCTGTGCTTGGCTGAATAGTTCAGTTCTTCTTGCGCTTTGGCTGGTTTGTTTCCTTGATTGAATGACTCATGCAGCTGTTTCACATTAACATTAATGACACGTGCATGATTATAGGAGACTGACCAATCAGCACACAGCAAGTGAAATGCAGATCTTTTTAATTGAAATGGTAGTTAACAAATCCCATCCTAACTCAAAGTTTCCTTTCTGACGTGAAGTATCTGGTCACCTGACGACATGCAGTTATATGAATTGGTGTCTCCAAACTGATGACAGTGCATTACTAGATAAGTGTTAATGGATGCATTGGCAGATGGATAATTCACTTAATATGCCCATTTTCCATTTTGGTATAGAATGTCACATGAGCTTGTTTAGGGATTCTCTGCTGTCTGGGCTCCATTTATACTTGATGAAACATGTTTAAGGTTAAGTCAATGTAATCTTTATGTATCTGGTTCTCCAAACGAGGACAGAAGGGTGCAAGGACATGACCTCGTCACAGGAGAGTCTTAGACTGACAGCAGAAGGCAGCGTCATCATTGATGAGGCCAGCGCACTCAACGCCATGCTGGTGAACCACATCGCATGCTTTCACAACAAGCCATGCTTACATTTTGAGCAATTACTAAGCTCTACATTCTGTGCTTCTGGAGCTGTTCGTCTAGAATAGTGGTGCTATTTGGACATTTGTGATGCCTTTTTGGGCTGAAATACTGGTTCTACAGTCATAGAATTTTTTACAAAGATAACTTCTGAAAAACACTGTAGGGACCATAGAACGAAAAATGGCACCATGTTTAGGTTGTGTGAGATTTGTTCAGGTGATGTTAGGAGACATCAGAGGCAGATTTAACAGGATATGTACATCTTTGTGTCTTTACGTGAGGCCCACAGCTAGAGGAGAGCCTTCCCTCGGACCTGAGCTCTTCCCAGCAGGCACTGCAGCAGGACTTGGAGAAGCTGAGGAACCTTAATGCTGCCCTGAGGAAGGAGAACAGTGCACTGCGGGATCAGCTGAGCGGCACACGGGAGAGTAAGCAGGCTGCTCACCGTTTACATCCCCAGTGATGTCTGCTGTCACGGTGGCAGGTGGTTTATGGGGCGACCAAAGTCTTACTCTTCTCCTACTCTACTCCTGTTACGTAGCCGTGGAGCCCAGTAACAAGGCGGAAAGGCGGGGGAGCCTGAGACCTAGTTGTGATGCAGAACTCGCCCGGGCCCTTAAGGTCTTCTACCATAACATGAACGCTGTTAGCAGCCAACTGCAGAAGCTGCGCAGACACAAGCCCAAGGTTGGTAGGCAATGGGAACCTGAAGACGTTCAAATAAAGCTGCACTCTGCCGTTATATCAAACACTTTCTTCAGTTATATTTTTAAACTTCCTTTGCAGCTTGGTTGTGTACAGAGATTATTAATAAACCTCAATATTTTCTTAAACTCATACAGTAATGTTTATGGTACTACAATGTTTTTAGCCCCACAAAACCACCACACTTACTGAATATGCTGTTGTAGTGGTAACCCTTGCCTATATTTGTTCCCTGCTGCATCGACTAACTGCTTTGATCTCTTGAACAAGATATTTAAACTGCATTGCTCCAGTAGAATGTCCAATGACATACGCAGGCAAAGGTGAATTTGGGACAGTTGTAAAGTAACCAGCATAACATGTGTGCTAAAGTGTCCTCCTGGTATGGATAATGACTTTCCTGTTGACGCCACACCTCAGGAGGACGCGGACCTCTCCAGCCTCACCCTCTTTGTGGAGGAGCAGGGCCTCCTCCTGAAGGACTTCGGGGAGCAGCTGGAACGAAGCATCACTGCGCTCAAGCAGGATGTAGCTGCTATCATTCGAAAGAAGAGGGAGAAATCTGGCATTTGGTCCTGAAACTGGTTATTCCTTAAAGTGTAGTTTCCCAGAATTTTCAATCACCATTTTCACAGGATGGGTGAAAACAATCTAAGCACCCTTATCAGATCTCATTAGTCTCAGACACCCATCCTCTTATCCAAGGGCCTGTATCACGAAGCAGGATTTAAGGTATCCCAGTTTAAAATTAACCTTACCTTTGTTCACTTACATCTAGCCCAGACTACCTTAAATCCAACAAGTTATCCATCTAAGCAAGAAATCTGGCTTCATGACATGGGCATCAGGCATTGGCAGAGTTTCTATGTCTTTGTAACACAAAGAAAACATGCAGACTCCGTAGAGGGAAAAGTGGGAACCAAACCTCCAACGTTGCAGATGGAAGCCAACAGTGCTAAGCACGCTGCTACAATATCATTTCATAGCCAAGGTTCTTTAATCTTGTATTCAACTGCACTGATTTTATGAAAAATGATCGGACCTGCTAAATATTACTGTTCAATTAACAGCATATCCAATATTGTATGTTATATAATCTTTATTTAGTTGGAAAATGACCCACAAAACAGGTGCAATACTGCAAACAAACCCAGAGATCAGCGATCGGGACAGAAGAGTCCGCTGATCACATCGCAAAGAGAAGTAAAGCTTAACCACTCATCGCATTAGACATGCTCTAGCTCAGCCGCAGAATGGGTTGTGCACGTTCAACAGCTGCTAATACCACACACCTCTAATTTCTATTCTTTACATCAGCAGTAATATTATTTTGTACTATGAGCAGACTGCATTTTACTCATGAAAATATAATAAAAACAGAAATTTAAAAGAAAACCATGCAGTACAAATGGTCCTGCTTTGACAGCCTACAGCTCAATCAGCACAGAACAAATGAGTACACTGACAAACTGAAGTATTACCTAACTAAAGAGGAAAGCAACAGATTCAGAAACAGAACTTCAAATGGATCCTCATACAGAAAGGTGAGCAATGCACAGACAGTGGGAAACTGTGTGTATGCAATTTCCAGTTCCAGTAAACTGCATCCCAGTTGTGTGACAAAATCTTAGCCAAAGGTATTTGCTTCTGTAGGGATGAATTACAATTACAGGCTACTGAAACATGACTATTCTTTCTGATAACATTCATACAATAGATAACATTAGAAAGTAAAAAAATAAGCATTAGCTAGTTAGCTATTTCAGTTTTGTTTTTTTGCTATAGCCAACTGTTCTCACTCAAGATTAAAATATTTCTTTGCTGGCAGGGGTACCTCCGTTACCATAAACTGTGGTCACACAAAAAACCCTATTAATATAGCTAAGCTACATATTAAAATACAACTGGACAGTTCATGATCATGTGATCAGGTATTTCTGTTGGGATTTTGTTTTCTACGGCCAATCACAATGTGAGCCTAAATTGCTCCAGCTGATGAGATCACGATAAGGGGCGTGGTTTACTGGAACTGAAAACACCATGCCAAAAACAAAAACCTACTCCTGTTGATTACATGAATGATGTAACAATGAGCAGATTATCTGTTATTTATTTACCATGAGTCATCACACTATATGCTGAAATCTGAACACGGTCTGTTTATGTTGTACGAGCTGAAGGACAGGAGCTTCCATAGGGGGGGGGGTTGGCATCAGGCTCTGGGGAACAGGCAGGCAGACAAGGCTCTCAGGCTTCTGGGCTCTGGAGCACAGAGAAATGGATGCCATGTTTGTCGAGGCGCTCGATCAAGGTGCTTTTTGAAAAAGCTGCTCCAGGAGAATAGACTCCCCCCCTGTGAATATAAACAAAGGAGGACCCATAAATCAGGGGTGGTCAATGGTGGACCTAAGCCACCCCCCCATTCCAAGGCTATTCAAATCACGGTCCTCGAGGTCCGAGCACTACTGGTTTTGCCGCCTTCCTTTACCGTTGAGCCAGGTGTGAAGCCTCCAGCCAATCAGAATCAGTGATTATTAGACTAGCTACCTGGGAGAACTGAAACTGATTTGGAATCGAGGTCCAGGTTTGAAGAGCCCTGCCCTATTCCACATGCAACCAGAAGAACCCATGCCTTCATGAGATAACAGCACAGTATAGTGAATTAAAGACTGGCGATTAGATGACCTAATAGCTACATGTGAGTCTAAGAATAAAGTGGATGGACAGGACTCACTTTTTGGGGAGACACTGTGGTTCATTGAGGATTGTGAAAGCTGACTGTACCATAGCGATCGGTGTTGTCACATAGGCGACCTCTGTGGAATACAGAGAAGTGAATAAAGATTACGCACGCCGCATGTTTATCTAGAAATCGCTTTAATGAGGTCTAAAACAGCCTATTTTAAAGGTCAGCTGAAGAAACTGAATGTTATGTCAGCGGTGGTTTTTAAAAATGATATCAAATTTATCTTGATCAGGATTGTTGGTCTGGAATAAAAGAGGGAAACGCATACCTGGTCCTTTAATCTGTGCGTGTATCTTGGCGTTGGGCTTTCCCTTCGAGATGTCCTGTCCCTCAGTGTAGCCTTCCCCGAAAAATGTGAGGCAGAAGGAGGATCTTTCCATCTGAGTAGAGAAATACAAGATGTACCAGATATCCACAAAAGTCTGAAAACAACATCTACACATCTAAAATGATCAGTCTGTAGGGGATGGACTCCATTCAGCAAAGAACTTTCAGTTAAACAACAGGGAAAGTAAAAATTGTACCTGCTTTCGAGTCGGACCAGTCTTTGTGAATACTCCGAAGGAGAAGAATTCAGGAAACTAAGTGGGGGAAGTAAGTTACAAATCAATTAGCTCCTATTCAACTGGAATAATATAGATGTCATAGTTTACCTTCATGTGAAAAAAATCTTTATTTTCTGTACCTTAATTAGGAGGTTTCTCCCAAAGTTGAACTTCATCAAAAAGAAGAAGATCACAGCTCCAAAAAGCAATTTGGCCACAGAGGAGATGCCGCCGACTCCAATATACGCACCATACTGAACCTGTGGTTGAGGGTTGAAGACCAGAATAAAACGGACCCCAGCTGCATTAAATGCTTAAGTCTACACACCGGAGGTGTATTCATCAAGACTTAAATGACAATTTCAGCAAAAAAAAGTGTTTTTCCATTAACCACATACGCTGCCTGGCTCAAAAAAAAACAAAAAAAAAAAAACTGCATACCATTTCATTGGATCGCCTTTAGCGTTGATTATGGTGGACATTTGTCAATGCATTGTTTCCATGTGCTAATGCAACATCAACCTTTTTTTCCCCATCCAGACCTGCATTCAGTTTTCGTTGAGATCTTGTATTTATGACAGGTGAGTTGAACCGCTCCATAAAGTCTCCTTAGGCATATCTCAAAGACATTCAGTGGTGTTAAGGTCAAGACTCTGGTGGCCAATTCATGTGTGAAAATTATTCCTCCTGCTTTCTGAACCACTCTGACAATTGAGCCCAACGAATCTTGGCATTATTGTCCTGGAATATGCCCATGCCAACAGGGAAGAAAAAAATCCATTGATGGGGTAACCTGATCATTCAGGAGATTCAGGTGCTCAGCTGACTTCACTTTATTCCTGCATAACGTTGCTGAGCTGTAATATGATCCAATCATTGACTCTTAAGTACTTGCCAATTTAACTTCAAACAGACTTTTTTTGGCCAGGCAGTGTACATAAAATCACTAAAAAGTTTGTACAAAGCAGAATTAACTTCTGCATGCAAAAATTCAGTTTCCTGTGGTAAATAGTGTGCCTACATTTGGTAGGTGAAGTAAGTCTATTTTGTGACTGAACATTTAGCAATTCTGATAAACCAGTCCACCACGCGAGAGTGAGAATTAGGTGCCTGACTGGTGTGGCCCGGGTAGAGAGGGGCATGGGTGATAGCCAGGGGTCTCAAACTGCAGTCCTGGGGGGCCAGAGCCCTGTGTGGCTTAGTTCTTTCCCCCACAAGTGATTCAGCTCAAGAGCTGTGTGGTAATTAGCACAAGGAGTTGAATCAGGTGTGTTAAATGAGGGTGAACCAAAAACTGTGTAGGACTCCGGCCCCCCAGGACTGGAGTTTGAGACCCCTGGTGATAGCCAAGCCTCTGGCCTGCTAGGGTAAGGCAGTCTTTATCAACCCGGTCCTTGGGGACCCACAGACAGTCCACATTTTGGCTCCCTCCCAGCCCTTGGTATTAGCAAAAACGTGGACTGTCTGTGGGTCCCCAAGGACCGGGTTGGGAAACATTGACTTAGATTAACCTATTTAAGGACTTACTGGGGACTCCTTGTACTCTTCATGCAAGAAGCGCTGCGTTCGCTTCACCACTGATGGGTCAGAGCCCAGGAAAGGAAGGGCGTACTGCTCAAGCTCCTTACTGAAGAACAGGGGGTTCCTACAGGGAGAGGGAACATCCAGCATCACTGCTTTCACTGTACTGCCGTTCGAGTTACAGTACTGCCACGCTTCAAAGATCAAAGTGATAAAAAGCTGGGACTATTACGGCAAATCAGAGTACCTGGGTTTTAAAGTTGCTACGCTCAGATAAATCAGCACATAAAATGTGCGTCGACCAAACTAAGAATAAACTGAAAACATGACCAAGCTCATAAGGATCAATAACATGGTGAAAGGCAGAAGTCAAAGGGATCCTGATACAGGAAGGTGAGCACAGGCAGTGTGAAAAGCCAGTAAAAAAGGGCTAAATCTGTTGATTAAATGATGTAGCATTAAACAGATCATTATATGGTCATTGTTCACCCCAGACGTCGCACTATATGTTGAAATATGCAGACATTATGTTTATGCTGCACAATCTGAGGAACAGGAGTGGAACTAGGGCAGATATCAGAGGCCAGCGATCCTGATTGAAGGCTACAGGATCTGCCGGTGTTCAATATGGCGGAGCTCTAATGTTTAACATCAGTCGAGACGCTGCTACTGTACGTCACTTAACTAGCAGCCCTGCATACCCCTCAGCTCCTGTGCAGAGACACTGCCGAGCCCCCACACCAAGATAACCACCCCGCACCTCCTCTTGAGTTTTGACCCAACTACAGGAAGAGGCGCGTGGCCAAATTTCTTCCTCAGGCTCCTCAGCTTGTCGCTGTCTGCTATGCCATATATGGCCGACTGCCAGGTGCCGTCATTGATGCAGGCTCTCTATGGAGGGAGACAAAACAATAAAATATTTTAAATGCAGAGGGTTTGGGTCAGACTTTTTGCAAATCTTAGCAGCATATTCAGCTACAATTCAATGGTATTCACCAGGGTTGGGGCCATTCCGGAACGCATTCATCAATTCCAATCCAAATCAGGAATTGGAACTAGAATTGGAATTGAATTTGAATTTCAGGGAGATTTAAATTCCAATTCTGTTCCCCTTATCAATTCTGTCCTCCCAATCCCAACTCCAGTTCCATTTCCTGATTTGGACTGAAATTCATGAATGCATTCCGGAATGGCCCCAACCTTGGTATTCACCGTCCTTGGGCCAAAAAAGGAACAACTTAAACTTTACAATTTTATGTGTTTCAGTTTTTAAGACCCTCAAAAGTTTCCTTGACTTCTGTTGGAGCTGGAAAAATGGAAGAACACAAGGGAGAGGAAACCTAGTCCTACAGTAAACTGAACACAAATACTCTTTAAAAATTAATCAGCTTACATTTTCCCCTTTACATTCTTAACACAGCTGGGGACAAAAGCAAGTCCAGCTGTCTAGCGATGACTGATGGTCTTCGCTGACCATTGAAGGGATCCCTGCAGAGTTTGTGCTGTCCTGTTTAGAGTGACACAAACACCAAAACCTACCTCAGGCCCAGTGTTTATGGACAGGAAGCTCTCAATGGCAGTCAAGGTTCCTGGAAATATTTTTTTCCCCATTAGATCAGGAAGATTTGAAACAAAACAAAACAAAACAAAAATGCTGAAGAGTTAGTTATAATCTTTGTATTACACACAGACACTGTACATTGTGCCCTTGCTGACATTTAACAAAAGTAAAATAACTAATGTACACAACAGTGAAATACAGTGATTACACACTGCAAAATACAAAAAAGGGGGAGGGAATAGCAGAATATAATGCAATATAATTAGGAATATATACAGCAGTACAGAGGTGCAAGAGCACATTAAATAAGATGGTGCAAAAGGATAAAACAGGAGAATGCTGCAAGGGTGATTCTAAGCCCTATTTGGGGGGGATTTCAACCACCCTATTTTGTTGCAGCCCCCCTGAAAATTATTCTAAATCCATTTAGCTCATGTATACATGAGTGCAGTTCAGTCGTGCCTATATATTTTTTTTTTATTACAATTATAAAAACACACATTAGTAATCAATATTTATAATAACATTAAATAAACAGCTGTACTAAAATAATTAATTCCACAGACAATGTTGGGGAAGTCAATCACAAAAGTAATCTCTGTTACAGATAGAGATGGAAAGTTCAGGTCTGGATTTTTCCTATCTGGACCAAGGTTGTGTTTCAAACAACTAGCTGAATACAGTCACAGTCACGGAGTACTCAACTGGTTGGTTGGAACAAAACTTGGTCTGGATTTGTACTTTGCGGACATGAACTTTCCACCTCTGTCTGTAGTGGAAGACTTGAGTAGAAACGGTACCTTTGAACTGGTCCCGGATATACAGCACGCCCATGTCGGCAGGGATGGAGTCAAATCCACAGCTCCCAATAATGTAAACACCTTTCTCTGCGGCCTGACTGTGGTAGTTAAGTTGCATCCCCTCTAAAAACTATGATGAGACAACGTATACATACTAAATACTACTAACAATAACAGTTACTGTGAACAATGTCACTTGGTTTAGGTCAGGGGTGGCCAATCTTATCTGCAAAGGGCCGGTGTGTATGCAGGTTTTCGCTGCAACTCCCTAATTAGATTACTAATTAGAGGACTGATTGGCTGAAGAGTCCTCACACCTGGGTTTGAACAGCTGACCTACAGGTTATCCCAAAAACCTGCATACACACCGGCCCTTTGCGGGTAAGATTGGCCACCCCTGGTTTAAGTTATTTCCGTCATGTACACAGATTCAGATAAGCCCCGTGAATCACTCTGGAAGACAAAAGTTAAAGTCTCCATTCAAACACCAAAGCACTGTACATCCTTCTGTCAAAGTGTGTAGCAAAGTGAGGAGCAATCCTTACCGTCTCAGACTTCTATTACAGATTTAGTACATTAGAGAAGTTATAAATTCCAAAAATAATATGTGGCTGGAGACATCATTCATGTCTGCTTTTCAGAACAGCACATGCTAAAGCAGCAGCCTTTCAGTAACGTTGATGTTCTGCTACATTTTCCACCATATGGAAGAATGAATCCCTCTCCTTTAAGCGACGTATAAAATAGGGAGGGGGAAGAGAAACATTCCTAATAAGCACTGTCCTAAAAATGGCTTTATGAACAGAGACCTAAATCCACTTGAGCCTAAGCAGGTGGGCCAGTTCTCAGTGGGACCACATCTCCATGACCAAAAATGGATCCTGGTCCAGCACAGGCAAATTACATTGCTTTACCTGAGGTTCCCCGCTGATATCAATGCAGTGTGCGCCGTTCTCTATGCATGCTTTGACAACGTTCTCGCCGTAAAACCTGTACTGAAAGAGATATTTCTCACTTAGTTTCTTGGTTAAAAAATTTCTTTACTTAAAACTCATGCAAAGTCACAACGGAAAACACGTCTAAGTTAGATGAAATTAATGTTTCTAAATTTGACAACACCGGTCTATCGTTTAAACAAAGAACCCAAAACAATCACAGATTTGCATTAATCTCTAAAATGGCACACCTCAAACCAGTGTGTCTCTCCATAAGCCACAAAAACTCATTATGGACGGACAGAACCGTCCCGCCCTGCAACTTGCATTTCAACTGGAGTGACCAAAACGCTCAAGCTGTGGTTTTGGGTGATGTCACCCTAGTCTCTAATTATACAACATATCAATAAGTAAAACTGCAAAATCACCGGAAACTTCATTTTAACTCAAATTTTCAGGATTGACTGTATTAAAGTCCCCCCCCCACCCAATTCTTTTTATACGTTTGAGTTTTGAAAGTGCCGTGTAAACTTCTAGTAATAACAATAATATTGTTATTCATTTTTAGAAAAAGTATGATGTATAAAATAGTAAATAAGTTTACAAAACCATATACATTCAGTATAACACTGTACCAAGGCCTGCAGATCCTTATGTTTCCTCTTAGTTCATCCCAGCTACGTCTGGCTTTACAGAACTGCTCCCTCCATTTAATTCTGAAACAAATGGAATCATTGTACACTTACTGGTCCCACACAGTTCAGAATAATGACTGCCTGTTTGCACATAGCAGCCAAGGCATCTGCTTCCCCAACATCTGCAACTATTATATCCACTTCTGACTTCAACTCTGGTTTACCTGGAAGCAAAACATGTGCAGCTGAACACATAAAAATGTATAGAAAGTGCATGTTGCAGGGTGGAAATAACATGACCCCACCCAAGCCATTAGGCACAGTCAAAGACAATCTGTCTCTGAGTGATTCACTGAGGAATGCATATCACTTTGAATGTTGAAAAATTAAATTACGTCACAGAATGACACAGCAAATAGGATCACAGCACTGCTGAATGACTTGGTTAAAATTAAGAAAATGTCATTTTATCGTGTTGCATTACTAGACATTATAATATTAATACCCAGTTGTAGAAACTGCATTATGTAACCATGGCACTGAAGCAATGATTTGGGTGTCTGATCAAAGGTTGCTCAGTTCCTTCTGATGCTGGAATTATACCCTGAGCTAAATATATTACCGAATTAAAATATCATTTCAGCTTCTTACCAAGCTGAATATTACCTTGATATTAAACAATACCTTAAGCAAACAGAATATAAACACTGACTCAAAGGATGGTACTGCATACAAGTATCAGCAGTAATTAACGGAGACTGTTTGTGTCAGTCATCACAGCACAAGGCCGCAAAGAATAAGGGGGAGGGGAGGGGAGGGTGCGGGGGGAGCAAACATGTCAAATATGTTCCATAGCTCTTGGTCCAAAATGATCCTGGATCTTTCCGGAAAATGACCAACCCCCCCCCCCGGATTGCAAAACAGTTGCTGCCTTGATTGCTACAATAAATCAGATTACCTATTAACAGGGGTTTCTACACAATTAGATGGTCATTTGATGATTATGCCGATATCTTTGGATAAAGTTGTTTAAAGCTAGGATTTAAATTATACCCATAAGGCATTTCTATAAAACATGCTGCTTTAAAGCTGCAAAAAAATCCCGAAATGTTTCAGTATATAATCTATTTGAATAAGGAACATCACTATAGGCTCTGTAGTTTGGCTCACTACTGGGTAACTGGTTAGGTTTATCTCATAAGATAACTATGCAAAAGTTTGAGACTGGCTGTATGGTCTCTGACGGGGTGCTGTATAACCAGATAATGTCAACCTCACCTGTCCCGCATCCCCTGCTATTATTCCGCAAGATGCAATGCGAAGATTGTGTGTAAACCGGTCAAAAAAATAGCTGCCGATAAAAAAAAAAAAAAAAAAAGTTTATTTCGCCTGTGAAACGCCGTATAGCGTTAAAATACATTTCAGTGTTGGTCGGAAATTCGGCTGAACTGCGAAACTGCAACGCAACTGGACGGCTGTGTTTATAAACCCGAAGGAAACACATCGAATGATGTGCCGCTGATGTGCACTGCAGTACACAGATTTAACGCAACTATCTGGGATCGGCGAATTCGCCAGCTATAAAAGCTACTTACTGAGTATTTCTGCGGCCTGATCCAGAATCTCTTCCAGCTTCTGGCGGTTCCTCCCGGCGATCGCCCATTTCAAAGTCCCCTTCGGACCCTCGGCAGACGTGCGGGCGATTTCCTCCACGACAAACTGTCCCGTGAAGCCCGAGGCCCCAAAAACAACGACATGATAGGGTCGGCTACTAGAGGTGGTGGTAGAGCCCATGATGATACGCCACAGATGTGGACCTAGAGCCGATCAAGCGACAGGATAACAGTGACAGCGAAGCAGGGACGCTACCGTGAAATATCGGCGGTAGGCGTGCACCTTTGCACTTCCGCGAATCCGGCATCACATCTGCCGCCCATGTGTCACGCCCTTAGCCAATCACACACTCCCTTTAATTTACAAAAAGTCTTCATTGTCTGAAATGGGAACCACGTGATGCCGCTCGAACTTGACCTGACAGGAAAAATCGTTGAAACTATAAACGAACCAAAAATTATTAGTGTTGCATTTCGGAAGGGCCTATATTAACTTTTTATTAACACTAAGTGTAACTTTATGTACGGGGTGCTTGCCATTCGGTATGCACTTTTTTATAATAACCATTTCGTGTAATATGATTGGGCATGTGTTTAATATATGTTTAGTTTTTAAGAAAACAATATTACTTAACGGAAATGTTCATGAGAATTTAGAAATAATATAAATTCACTAAGGATTTATGGTATTTTCTTTGCGATAAACCTGAATATGGCGGGATTTAATAATCTTTGGTTAACCATGGACCCATTAAATTATGATGAATCATTCTATGCGGATAATATAGGGATATTTCGTGCATGTTGTATGTCATTCTACAGTTAAAAATATATTTCTACGTCTAATTTCATCGTTCAGAAACTTCCAATTCGGCCATATTATAATGAAATTATTATTATATAATGGATTTCGTTTTGGTTACGTATTTTATACGCACCCTGAATGTATATATGTAACGTAAGTATGTGAAAAGAATTGTACTGCAAAGCCAAGCCACTCAGCAACATCGTTTCAGCAAAATAATTTATTTAACAGCAAAATAATTCATGAGATGCAGTGTAGACTTACACCTCCTATTGACAGACAACTCAAAGACAAAATAAGGACCTTTCACCTCACCTTACCACCACCCCTCAACAAGGTACTGTGTATACGTTGTTATAATTGAATTTGCATGTATAAAGTGACTTCTTGGCTTGTGATGACAGGGTAAGCAACTTAGGCCTACACTGGCGACTGTGAAAGCAAATGAAGGGCTAGCCAGCTAATGCTAATTCAGTAAGTGCATTATCTTAATGGTGCCATAAGAAAACCCCATTTACCTCCTGACTCCCCCCGTAATCACTGTGTGCTATTAGTGCCTGTATTCAAATCACCAACCAATAACAACACTTTTCATTAGAATACAGTATGCTTACATTTTGCATTTGCAATACACCCCTTCCCCCAAAAATACTGCTGCAAGTAAATTAAAAACGTTACACAGTGTAAACAATTTAAAGAAAATTTATTTAATTGCCTATTTACAAAATATTTCACCTACA